CTTCGTGCCAAACATGGTCGAATGCTTTCGATATGTCCAACGCGACAGCTAGAGATTGCTATAAATGGGTGACGTAGGCAAGTAGATCTCCAGTAGATCTTCGGTGGCGAAAGCCGTATTGTCTATCATTGATGATTCCTGAGCTCTCCAGATATTTGATAAGCTCAATATTGATGGCTTCCTCCATCACTTTGGAGATTACTGATAACAGGGCAATGGGTCTGTAGTTGTTAAGCAGGTTCTTGTTCCCTTTTTTGGGGATTGGTTGAACTCTAGCTGTCTTCCAGCATGATGGAAAAATACCTGACCTGTACGAGATGGAAAACAACTCGCAGATAATCGGTGTTAATTCTGGTGCACATTTTTTGAGGATAATGGGTGGAATTCCATCAGGACCGTTAGCATTATCCGTTTTGAGACCAAGCTAAATTCGTCTGATAGTGCGTTGACGGCGATTTCGGGCATTCGACTCTCAACGGGTGGAATGTCTGGCGGCAATTTCCCTTGGGAATCTAAAGTAGAGTTTGCTGCGAACATCTCTGAAAAAATATTTGCTTCCTCCTGCGATGTTGTTGCTAATGTGCCGTCGGATTTGGACAGTGGTGAAAATGAACTATTATTGAAATTTCTTCCGACCGCTTTAGCAAGGGACCAAGACGAACGGGAGCCATGGGGGCAATCTATGAGTTTCGATCTTATCTTGGCATTGTATGTTTCTTTCGGAGCATCTATTGTTTGGCTGCAGTTATTCCTGGCATCAACGTATTCTGCTCTAGTCGCGAGGTTAGGGTTTTTGCGCCAGCGATGGTAGGCTGTTTGTTTCAAGGCAACCGTTTTAGAACAGTTATTGTTGAACCAGGGTTTCGAAGGTGATGATCTTTTCGAAAAATGAGGAATGTATGTGTCCATTCCGAGCATGATGATCTCGGATATTTCCGCAGCACACTGTGAAGGGTCCTCAGAGTCAAAGCATACTCTATGCCAAGGAAACTCGGAGAAAAACATGCGGAGACCGTCCCAATCTCCTGAATTGTAATGCCATATGAGACGTGAGGGTGCCGGAGCAGTTGATGGAATGAAAAATGGGCAGGTTGTGGGGATGAGTGTGTGGTCAGAATTGCCAAGTGGAGCTCGTAGATCTATGGTGTAGGGTGCTGAATTAGTAGTGAGGAATATGTCAAGTATGTTAGCTTGGTTATTGGCATCGGGAATTCGTGTGGGTTCTTTGATAAGCTGCTCTTAGCCGTGAGTGATGGCGAAAGCTTCGGCTTGTCGCCCAGCTTCATCCGTTTTGTTAGAGTGTACGAGCCAAGCAGTGTTGTGTACATTGAAATCGCCCATGATGATGATTTCTGCTGCTGGATGGTTCTGTTGAATTTGGTCAAGCTTCAGAGACAAGAATTCGAAGAGCTCTTCATAGGATGGATCATTTGGTGATAAGTAGAGACAACAAAGGTATTTGGTCTGTTTCTGGCTATCGAGTTTGAACCACATGACATCAAACTTATTTGGTTCCAAAGTTTTTTCTCGTTGACATGAGAGATTCGTTTTAGAGTAGAGGCAGAGACCTCCCTTGAATCGGAAACGTGTGTGGAGTTCGTACCCAGGACAGAGCAGAAAGGTCGTATTGGTGGATGAATTGACCTGTGTCTCAGTAAGAGCCAATATGTCTGGCTTTTCAATTTGAAGGTGTCGATGGACATCGTTGATGTTCTTACTCAGACCTCGGATCTTACATAGGTCTACCTTATAAAGAAATATCAGAGCAGATATATTCCTCCTATTCTGAAGAGAATTGATGTTATATATCTCTCTGATAAAGCATTATTAGATATTCCAACAGCAGGGTAGACACCATCTTCCTTGAATGATTTCATGAAACGTCTATTGATTCGTTCAAGGCTATCTATATGTACATTATGGTATGGACACCATATAACAGAAGCACACTCCGTTTTAGATCGAACATAGGAGTAATACAAAAGGAGCAGGGTATCCGTTGTTGTAAAAACGCGAGTATTTCTGACAATGAAACCTGAAATTTGTACGAGAATCATCTTGTTATGCAGCACTGTATTCAGAAAAAAAACTTTTCTCAAAGAGATTAACGCACCATCAAAAACTGCCAAAAGTTCGAGAAACATTCTCGTCGAAACTACCTGTTTTTTTTTTAGGTTTTTCGTTTTGAATGACAGGTTATCTCCCCTGAACATAGGTGTGCAAAGTGTATTCGCATAAAAGTCTGTTTTTCATACATATTGGGCGTAGCAATTATACAGCGTGTTTTTTTTGCATGAAATTCTCAATACCCCGAAGGGTGTAATAATTACACTACCAAGTTGGAATTGAAACAACACCGTTTTGCAGCATGACTTTTTTCGATTCACTCCATTATCTCCCCTATCACTCGAGAAACGCAATTTTATAGCGTAACATGATTTTATGAGAAATTGAACTCCAAATATGTGGAGTAACAAGAGGAGAAAAGGTCATTAGCGAGTATTTTCGCCGTGGGAAGAATAACTTCTTGGTCAAGATGACCTATACCCAGAATGAGATACCTATAATGGCATGTCATTATCGAATATAAATCAAAATATCTGTTCAGCATTTCAGCAAACTATAACTTTGGTCAGCATTTTATATTTTCCCTAATTTTGGACTCGCCTGGCACCTAATTCTGCTCACCAAAATTGCCTGTGAATGTTTTTCCCAATTCAACTCTATCACAAATAGCATCATAATGAAATTCATTTGATAATTTTCACACTTCAAAAACTATTGGAGTTTTTGATGTGCAAGGGTGAAGCCGCCAGCTCATGATTGTCTCACTCAATACCCTTTAATTAATGACTACAAATTTGTAGCCTTACAGATAAACCGTTATAATAACACCGAGAAAATTTACGGGGAGATTCCATGTGTTATTCCAGGAAATAAAGTTCTTATAAACATGTGTCCTTACTTGTTTCGTTTTCGAGATACAGGGTATTAATATTTCCATGAAAAATCATTTTTCTATTCATTTCTCAATTGTCTTGTCATCAATTCCAATGAAACGTTGTGGTTTTGTTGATAGTAATATGGAGCTTTTTCTGAAAGCAATAAGATTCGAAATAATATTTCCAGTGGCGTCACAGTGGGTGAATCTATCGATATTCATAGTGAATGTCATTGTAGACCACTGGTTTTTCTGAGTTTCATAATTTCATTAGAATGAACTATTAACGTGACACCTTTTTCATTTTTTGTGCGATTTTTGCATCTAGCTTAATTTTTGAGGAAACAATAAAAATTTTATTTGACTCCAAATTTTAATCTAGGTGTTTTCAAGACTTTCATTGAGATTACTCAATGACCCCGATCAGAATCATTTTGGTATTTGGGGGCTTTCTCAGTCTCCATCCATATACTGAATTCTGATGGCATCATGCATGGGAGCTTATACAGAAGGGTTATGAATAAAAACAATTGATACTTCCAACTTCAATATCCTGTATCAAAAACGGGGCAAGTTAGAACACATCTCTATATGAACTTAATTTGCTAGAATATCAAAAGGATTTTTTTCGGTGCTCTGAGGAAAATTCCTATTAACCATAGTCAGAAATCGAATTACCCCAGCAAGAAACTCTAATAGATATAGAACCTTGCTGCAACTAGTGAGTGCATCTGTATATTGCTATTAGACGATGTTTCTGTGGTAGGTATCTGACTTTGCTACCGCTAGTGAGTTCATCTGATAATGGGAGTAGGGCAATGTTATAATGGTAGGTAGGGAACTCTGCTATTCTTGATGGGTGATCATATAGATAGTTGCATGACCTACTTGCTGTAGTTATTCAGGTATTTTCCAGGATTGTTGTCATCAAGAAAGGTGAAATTTTGTTTGATATCCGATCTCACTTTCCATAATTTCCACCCTGATGTTTGGTATGGATAGCAATTTATTGATTCCTCAAGAAAATTTCGGACCAATGATCTTTGGAATTCAATAGATCATTTGATTCATGCATCCTCAAGAAAAACAAAAGGTTTTTGAGTAATTAATAGAAAAATAATTTCTCTGAAACTTTCTGAAACTATTGTATTTCGGAAACTAGGCAAGTTATTACAGGCGTACAAGGAAACACAATGTTACCAGTAAAATCATTCAAATAATTTCATCACCTGAACATTTTTGCTCACAAAAAGTTTATAGACCACATTCTATAGAGAAGCTCTGGAACATATTTGACAACTCCAAAGTTTTATGGTATCAGAAAGAAGGAAATGTTTGAATGTGGAATATTTGAATTTCAGTCGAAATACTTCGAAAAAACTCACCTTTATCATTCCATCAATCCTGGTAATAACTGAAGCACTCAGATCTACGGAAGCACTGAAAGGGACACAGAAGATTTTTTCATTTGTTCGAAAATGTTTCCATTTCATATTCGAATTCAGATTCAGATTTTGAATAATGAATTGAATTCAAGAGGGGAAGTACTCGTAACTGTCGTGTCGTCGAGATTGTCGTCCTGTACATGGGTTTGCATCAAGGGCCCAACTGTGAATGATCAAGCAAGATGTCTCACAAATGCTCATATAGAGAGGGACAAATCAGCAAAATATCGAATGACGATAAGTAGGCGCTAAATATTCCCAAGTTGGTCCATCAAATATTATTTTCGTGGTAGACTGACACTTGTATTATTGGTAGTGAGTGCAGTTCTATGCGATGAGCCTCGCAGTCACAAGCATAGTTGTCGTTCAGCTATTTAGACAATTATAATGCATGCTGTCCCAGAGTGACTGCCTGATAGCGACAGCAGTAAGCCTTCCTTTGGCAGGAAATTCACTTCCAGCAAAGTTGTTATTGCTATCATAGGATTTCAAGGTGCTACTTCTATTAGAAAATGTATAACGGTATTATGATTTCTTGTAATGGTTGCAAGAAATATCTCAGCACTCTAATTCCTCAGTGTGTTATTTAGATACACCTTGTATAAAATGTTGACGAGTTCTCCAGTTGATACCTATGTTGTAAATACCCCATTGGTGTTTGACAGCATAACATCTATCACAGATGTCAAAGATCATGGGAGACTGCATATCTAACTTAGTACAGAGATTATTCGACTATCCTTTGAAGAATGAACGCAAATGTGCCTACAAGAACGATCAACCAGCACAAGATGGTAAATTTTCAAATCCTCAGTGAAAATTGAAAAATGGAGAAACGCTTTTTCAGATGAAAATACTGGTGCAAACCAAATGAAATCTAATTATGATAAAATAGTAAAGGAATTCAATCAGAAACTGTTGGAGAAACGAACAGAAAACCGCGAGAAAATCAATGGACGAACTTGGGAGGAACGAAATATCATCGCTCATTTTCCAGAATGGAATGAATCGACTATATCCTACCTGCACAGCTTGTATTTGACATTCTGTAGCGATAAAAATATGATGATAGACTTCGAGGCATTGTGAGAAAAGTTACATAATTCGTTGTAATATGATATATGCTTGATATTTCCGATGTTCCAGCTCTTGTATTCTGGAATGCTTAGGTAACGAGTGTCCTGAAGAAAGGAGGAAACATAGATTCAAGATGACGGATCAGAATAACGATGGTTTCATAGAATACAAAGAATATTTACAGGTCAGTTCAATAGTTGTTTGTGTGTTCAGAAAGCGAAAGCGTTGTGTAGCGGAGAGTGGTAATCTTTGGAGGGCTCAAGTTTCGTTTAGCTAAAATCAGTTATGGAAAATTTGTTGCTATGGCATCGATCGTCATGGTAACGAGTAATAAAAAATTCGATTCCTGTGGTGAGGAAATGCGTGGTTGCCAAGTTGTATCTGAGAAATATTGCTTTATCTATCAATTTCAAAAACACTATTCAATGCAACCATCCCTCGCGTGCCAAGCTATTCGACAAAATCAAAAAGAAACAGATCCATTTTGAAATATTCATTAGGTGGTATCGCGCAGGATTTAGGAAAAGAGACACAGGTACTGGTTGTCTAATATAGATGGAAACATCTCGTGAGGTCAAAATTTCGATCTACCCACATTTCCATTCGCCTTCATTTCGATTCACCCATACCTTTCTTCACGTGCATATTTTGATTCAGCCACAGTCTTCAAACACACACGAACGATACCTTGCTACCAAATTTGATCGATGTTGGAAAATATATTTCTTCTATGAAGAAGGTTAATTTAAGCCGAGTTAGGTGAGATTGTTTAAAACAAGTAGTGTCCCTTTTTATGCAGGAGGGATATTTTCCTTCCTTCCTGTAAAAAGAACCAACTGTCTACTTAGGAAAAAGGTTCATTTAGGTCGAGTAAGGTTAGATGGTTCAAAAAAAGTAGTGTTTATGCAGGAGGGATATCTTCCTTCCTCCCTGGAAGAAAAACCTACTGTCTTCTTAGAAAGATGGTTCATTTAGGTCGGGTAAGGTTAGATGGTTCAAAAAAAGCAGTGTTGATGCAGTAGGGATATTTTCCTTCCGTCATGAAAAGAGGAAGCATTTACTGTTGAGAAAAGTTTTTACGAAATTATTTTGGGAATTGGAAAGTTTGTTTTGGCTGAGTTAGATAGTCTTGTTTCAAAGAATGGTGATTTTAGGTCAGATTAGGTCAAGTTAGCAGAATGAAATAACCCATGAATATCAACTACTTGATAAGAAATATGTATTGGGACACAAAATATAAACTTGGATTCTTTCTGAGGAGACAAGTTGCTATTTTCAATTCATGTACCTTTCACCACTGGAATATCTTGTCTACATTTCCAAGATTTAGGACAATGGTATATCTTCAGATCTGTTTCTCCGAAATAATAATGGGAGAATGGCTTGACCGGATTCTTGTGTTCCTTGGGTTTGGCCTTGCAATGAGGTCTTGCTAGCACCAAACCTTGACTCAGAAGAAAATTCATAACTGTTTTTCTTTTTTGAGGTGAAATGGAAAATAGAACACTTGGCAACCACGCATTTACTCACCACAGGTATCTGGTTTTTGTATACTCGTTACGCATGACGATCATTGCCATACCAACAGTTTTTCCATAGCTGATTTCAGCTAAACTGAACACGATACAACTTGGCAACCACGCATTTCCTCACCATGGAATTTGAATTTTTGTTTACCTGTTATCATGACAATGCGGTTGCTATGGCATTATTTTTTCCACAACTGATTTCAGATATACTAAACCCGATACAACTTGGCAACCACTCATTTCCTCACCACGGGATTTTGTTTTCTGTTTACTCGTAATCATGACAACGGTCACCATAGCAACAAATTTTCCATAAAACTGATTCCAGTTAAACGAAACTTGAACCCTTCGGAGAGCCCCAGTAACACTCTCTGCTCGAAATACATACAAAATTTCGTCTACATACCTAGCTCTTGACAAAAACAAAATTCATGGATAATAGTAAGAAGGCCCAAGCGGGAATTTCGGGATTTACTCGAGCGCGGCAGATTAACATAAGGGGGGTATCCTTGGACCTTGTGAAGTACTCCCACCATACCTGGGCCCTTTTAATGGTACCGGAAGTTTAGGATAGGCGATGAGATTAATAAGAAAAATTGATCGTCAGAAATATTCGAGCGCGTCAGATTAGGACGTACGTTAATTACATGCAGAAAAGTGTGGATTTCAATAATCTGACGATTTGAGCGAGACATAAGGAAATGGGAGAGCCACAAGGTTATTTTGAAAGCAATTACTGATGGATCACGGAAATGACATAATCTGACGATTTGCACCAGCCGAATTCAATTAAGGGTGGTGCTTGCAGTCACTGGACACTATGTATGTAATTGTGGTACCGTAAGAAACTGACAAAGATGTATCACTTCGCCACGCATTTTTGAGTAACCATGTATAATAATAATAACAATAATATGAATTTATTCAAAACGTTCACTAAATATACATTGGAACATACAGGTAGGTATTTTGAATAAACTGGGTCAAACCTTACGAAGTGAACCTTGTAAAAAGGATAAAATAACAAATGTACATAGGTCAATAAATATTTAATAATATCGAATTATCAAAAGGGAACAATTGTCTCATTGAGAAATGTGGCATCATGCATTCATTCATATATATTGTACTGAGCATATCTCATTCAATTTGCATAATTATTTATATTTATAAATACTTATTCACAATTATTATTCAGATTTTTCTAATTATATTATTGAATGTTGATTAAAGAGATGAAATCATTTTTAGGAAAGTCTAATATTCAGTTTTTTAGTTTTATCGTATAGGATTGTAGTGATTTTGTTTTTATGATATCATTTGGAATCTTATATATTATATAGATGAGGAATGAAAAATTTATAATTTCTACGTCCAATTGACTTGTTTGTTTTATATTTCAATGTTATGTTATTTTTATTTCTTATCTCATTAGATATGTTCTTTGAACTAAATGTCCTTTTTATTTTTGGAAAAATGAATCAGTGAATTGGATATATAAAGTTGATTTATATCCATTTTCTTAAATTCCTTTTATAAAAGTTCAGTTAAAAACAAATAATCATTTCCATAAATAATTCTTAAAATCCATTTTTGTGCAATTTCAATTTCCTCAAATATACCTGCTTCACTCCACCCCATCCTAATATTCCATAGAATTGAGATGGAATTAAGGCATATCATTTCTAAATTACGATTATTACGAATATTCAATAAGTTTTTCAAATGTTTGAATTTAGGAATGAGGTATCCTATTCTCTTAGAGACATAATCAATATGATGATCTCATTTCAGATTATTGTCCATTATTATACCAAGGTATTTGATACAGTCATAGCTCCCTGAATTTAAATTTCTCCATTTATCTAGATAGTGCCTAAATTTGGTTGAGAATTCCCATAAGAAGTAAATGTCATATATTTTGTTTTTTTTTCAAATTAATTGTTAATAAATTCTGATCAAACCATTCCTCAATGATAGGGAAACCATTGAATACTTTGTTTTTCGATTCACAACAATCTTTCGCAGAGTAAAAGATAACAGTATCATCTGCGAAAGAATGTATAGTACCAAAATGTTTCAGAAATGTACTGCTCATGAGACAAGGCCATCTCAAGAATTTTTGTTCATCTATCCCAAACAGCAAAGCCGTTGTCTCACTTTGCCACACTATTGGTCCACCCCGTATGTCTACATTAGCCTTATTATTCTATCTCGAAATTGTGAATTCCTCGAGCTGTTGAAGTCCTGCTACAAAAAACTGATCCACCCTGTATATTTTATATTTTAGTTGGATTACTTTCAGTTTAACAAAAAAAATATAAACAACAGAATAAGGTTATTCCTCTATATTATTGTCGAATTATGGGTCGATACGACAAGGGCATCAAGATGAAGCGTCTACTTTTATCTATGAAATGTTCATGAAAAAATGATTTGTTCTCTGTATTTCAACGCACTGTATCTTCGAAATGAAGTATTTTCGGACACAAGTTTATACGAACTTTTCATCTTGAAATTGTTTCAGATCATCTTCAGATATACATCACTCGAATATTTCGACATACTTATGTAACACCCTGTATACTTTGTCTCACTTCTAATGAACGCATCCCTGTATCTTTCGTACTTGTTGAGTTAGGTTTCTGAAATTCGTTAGAGCGGAAAATATACCAAAAATACACACCATAATCAAGAGGATTAATCTCCACTGATATAAACTGCTCGCCAACAGCCATGGAACCACCTACATTTCCGGGAAATTATATTAGGAGGAAAGTGAGCTTCTAGGTCGCCCCTGCATGCAATTTTCATGCACTTTCTATTAACTCTGAACAGATTCCTAGTCTGAAAACAAATCCTCTTCCATATCCTCCACACCTCCTTTTTGAGCGTTCAATGACTGAAGTATAAAACTCCCATCAGACTCAAAAGAAATAAGGATATACTGCTCGTGTGGTTACGAAGAGTGTCAAGTATAATTGGAATTCAACTTGAAGTCTCCAGAGTATTCGATTATTTTCCAAAATCTGCCAGTAACACGAAGTGAGCACCAATTCATGAACGACAATCTTAATCCACATTTCTTCATTGACTCCTCCGGTAGAAGAATAGGAGATTCTAACACTACACAACTAACAACTTTTGCACGTCCTGCTTCATCAAAGACTGTATTTTGTAGTAGCAAAGCGAGCGGTTCCATTATTTTCGCTTGCGATTGCAAATGCTATCAAATAATGGCATTTCATGGAAGATTTGACAAGGCATATCCCAACGCTCTTTATAGGATTGAAAATGTGATGAAACATAGTATGTATTCGGTGATGAGAAGCAAGAACTCAAAATTAAATCCATAAATGTTCAAAAATACACTACAATAGTAGATAACGGAGAAAGCAACTACTTTTGTGGCTAATATGCATCGATACCAATAAACGAAAACTGATGCGAATGATTCTTTCCAATCGTTTTCCGATTATATCCAGGAATGTGCTTGACACCGGTTTCGGGCTTCTGGCCTTCATCAGTGGTAGTCCTTCATTGAGACCGCCAAATAATATTTGTGATTGGCATTAGACACTGAGAAACTGGGCCTTCATGTATGTCGAATTAAAATTGTTTGCAATATTTCAATTTCTTCTCCAATTCTTCATTGGGCTAGATTAGTATTCGTCAGAGATACTATCAAGCGAAGGTTCAGCAAAGGTATATTCCTATTGACGGATCTTTTTGAATTTTTGATAATGTTCAACTCAATGTGGAAGTTTTCTGTATATTCCACGAAATTTAAGGATACTAATACATTATTATTTTCTCAGGTGATATATAATTTCGGGTCATCCATCGAATCAAGAGATGCATCCCTACGTTATGCATGTTTGAAAATAGCAGAGAAAACTCGATTCATCAATGGTTTATCAATAGGAGAACAACTGGAACATGGACTATTTTGATAATTTCAATCAATTTGAATTATATTCTTCACTATATAGACAATATCTTATGATATAAGAGTGTACCTATATACAATCAAATAAAAAACGCAGAAGTTTCTGTAATTTCTATTCGATTTTGAACATTGATGAAATAAACTTCAAATTGTTGGAAAAACACTATGAACTGATATAACCAGGAGAGGTTGTTAGTGAGGGGCGACGGGGCTGGCCAACCTCCCCCTCCTAAAGACACTGCCCTATTCAGGTTATTATAATAATAATAATAATAATAATAACTTATTGCACTTTCTACATTACAAAAAATGTATAAGCCAGTCAAACAAAACAAGTCAAAGATATTAGTAGATATATAGGTATAATGTATGAACAATATTTGTGTTATGATGTATGACGATTCAAATAATCATCGATGCTATATGGTTCAATATCATTGAGTAATTTCAGAAGTGGTTTCTTCACTGATTTAAAGTCTGAGATTTGTTCAGAGATGGAGGTAGACTATTGTAGAATTTGATACAGGAATATAAAGCACCCCTTTCAACACACGATAGTCGATGGGCTGGCACATTATAATTGTTATGTGTTGTGCAAGTGCTGTGTTTTGTATTCTGCAAAGTAGTGCTGGTTACGGAAGACAAACTTGATGCATTCAAATATATAGAGTGCTGGTATGGTAAGAAATTCCAATTGTTTGAAGTGGCTCTTACATGATTCTGAATATCCAAGCTGTTTCATGATACGAATTGCTCTTTTTTGGATTTTGAATACTCTATCAACTTCACTACAGCCTCCCCAAAGGATAATACCATAGCGAGCTAAAGAATAAAAATTTGAATAGTAGAATGTTCTGACTATATTGCAATTTGCATTCTTAGCTAATACCCTGATGCCATAGCAGCTCTTACTTAGCTTCGAGCACAGATGATCCATATGGTAATTATACTTCAATGTTTCATCTACTACAATCCCTAAAGATTTGATATATTTGGATGATATAATTTTCTGTCCATTGAGAATCATGTGATCCGGTGAAGGCCAAATTTGATTTGCTTTGAAAAATACTATATTGGTTTTATCGGGGTTCATCACCAATCTAGAGTTTGAGAACCAGTTTTCTGTTGCTGTCATTGAAGAATTTGCATTTGATATAAGTGTTGGGAAAATAGGTGCGGTGAGGAATAGCGTGCTGTCATTAGCATAGTTGATTATCGTCGTATCTTGATCAGCAAGATCAGCAAGTAATGGAAGATCATTCAAGAAGATAATGAATATCAGTGGACCTAGGACACTACCCTGCGACACATTCAGAGCACTTGACTGCATGTACTTGCCTCTTTCATCTCTCATTTTCACTGAATGTTTTCTACCTTCAATATAGGATTTGAACCACTTCAGAGCGATTTCTCGAATACCATAATGTTTTAATTTGATTAAGAGAATTGAAAAGTCGATGCAGTCAAATGCCCTTGACTTTATATTGTATATATTATTAGTTAGTTCAAACAATGCTGTTTCATTACTTTTACCCTCAAGAAAGTCATGTTGGCTATTACTGAATAGGTTTTGGTTTTTGAAGAAGCGTACCACTTGTCTGGATACAACGATTTCAAATAGCTTTGAAAAGGAGCTGAGAAGGCTGATGGGCCCATAATTATCCAGGCACTCGGCATCACCTTTCTTCAAGCAGGGCACAATTCTAGCAAACTTCAGATTATCAGGGAAAACACCAGATTGAAGTGACGTATTTATAATATGGGATAAGGGTTCGGCAATACACGAAAAACATTTTTTCAATAAAGCTGTGGATACTTCATCGTATCCGGAGCTTTTTTTGCCCTCAATTCCATTCATTATTTCTTGCAATTGTTGTGTAGTGATTGGTGTAAAAGTGAGGAAGTTATTATTTTGAGGTATATCACATAGATAATCATTCTGGTTTGGTAGTTTATCCGCAATGAGATCAGTTGCTTTCTTATTGAAGAAATCGTTCATCAAATTTGCGCCTTCAACGTAGTTTTTGAAAGTTGGTTGATCATTCTTAATTTTTTTACTATCTGTAACTTCACTGATTAGTTGCCATGAAGTTTTTATTTCGCAAGTCTTTGCTAATAGGTTCTAATATCAATCGAATCAATAGGAGAAATATTCGGATTTCATTCTGTTTATCTGTTACGTTTTCATTTCAAAATATATTATTATTTACCTAATTTAGGTTTAAATGTCTGAAACCGCCTCTGGATATTTTTGTCAATTTTCCTGGACATCAACCAATACTAGAAGGGCCCTAACATCTGATTTACTCCTAATAAATCATCATGCATATTATACGAGTGAGTCAGAATAAGACCGACAAACTTCGTATACGGATTCCTAACGTCATTTTGAACTGAAAATTGTTGATCAACGTTGTTGTTGATGTCGTTCATGTGTTTATTTAGATCTATGTGTCGTTGTTGTTGTTCTGTCCTGGAATACACCCTGATTGAGATGCAGGGTGTCAAAAGTACGAAAAAATCAAGGTTTATATTGATTTCCTCTGAACCCCTGTAAAAAAATGCAATCTTGGAAAACTAATACAGAATAATCAGAGAGATTACTTGGAGTTTTCATTTTTTAAATTTTTTTGACCAGTGGCGTAGGTACGGTCGTATTTTGCCACATTTGTCTTCATATTTTTCCTCAGACAGATGAAATGTCAAAGTGGGCTATGACATCAGTTAGGTTCATTGATACCGAACCGGAAAGTAAGCCTTAATGTGAAGGTTTCTGAGATATTTGCGAAAAACTGAAGATATCTCTTGAGGAAATATTGCTTCGTGTGCGAGAAGAAAATTGTAATGTTCTATCATGTTCACATATTCAACAACCAGTATCTTGAGCAGGTTGCGCCTCTTTCTGAGGTGGGGCAATTCCTTAATCTTTTTTTTTTGTACAATGTCAAAAGCCTTCAAATTGAAAATTAGATTTCCTCCATATTGACTCAACGACTTCATCACATGATTATGTCATTTATCATCCAGTTCCATATTCGTATGTCGTTTCGATCGATTTGAGATGTTCTAAAAATAATAATAATAATAAAACGTTTATTCATTCAGTTCATTCCTACTCATTCATTGGTATTACATTATAGAAAAATAATATATAGTTCACAAATATATAGTTACATAGTATACAATTAATACATACACAATTGGTTATAGAATGAACAAGAGTTGTTCCCAAAGGAGGATTGACATTTTACATTCCACCAGTTGATACCTACTCCATGAGGTTCGTAAGGAGGAAGATTAGATAAAGTTGATCAGGTTAGAAAAGTATAACTCATGTTGAACCGACAACTACGCCAAGCATTCTTGTAGTGAATCAATAGTGGAACTGTTTTTGTATCCCACGGACGTAAGTAATGGCGATGAAGAAAAAGGAAAAAAAAATACTACTAGTACACACTTCTTGAATAACTACTTGTATATACACACTTCGTTACTAACGCATAACCATTACTGAAGTTAAAATAAAACAGAATAAGGCAGGATTCAAACTTAGATAATTAAAATACTTTTATTCACAACCATATACAGGCTGATTTTAAAATAAGTGCATATATTTTAAACACTAAGAAAGCTTGAGGTATACTACCGAATAGCACTATAAAAAATATTATTAGGATCAAAATAGATTTGGGGCAAAATACCCTTTTTCCGCCCAGATTTCTACTTCTAGTTGTGACTATCGTTTGCGATCCGCAGTCGACCGTGATGAACGAAGCGACGTTGCCACTCTACATGACAATTAGGAGATATTAAATAAAATGTATAATCGAGAAAATGTACATGGGGAAGAAGTTAACCCTGGTCTTGAATTTCAGAAAGATAATACAAAAACTTTAAAATGGACTCACCCAAGATTTGTACACATAAGCTAGAAAAGCGTATATCTTAACACCTCCCCTTGGAAGTTCTTTTACTGAAAAATCCTTTAGACCCTTCCTTCCACCTCCTTGCATCGCTACAATTTCGTGTCATTCGAGGAGTCTCATGGGCCCCGCACAATAACGACCCGACATAAGAACCATATCATCCAGCTCAATGTTTGAGAAATGCATCGTCATTTTCCAAGCAAAAATTGTCAGAAACAAAACTTTACATTTACTAGTCAGTGTTGTTCCTGGGTCTGATTTTTTCGTAATAGATTTCCTTGGAAAAAGGTATCAGATTTGTATCAAAAGGTAATAGACTCGAAAAATCTGACATTTGACATTCGGAATGTCATTCTTGTCAAACCCTATCGCACTAATCACAGTTTTGACATAAATATAGAACATAGAACGGAACATAATTATCCGCTGAGCACAGAAATAAATTTTTTAGTATTGGAACATATTTTGGTGCTAATAGCAAATAGTAATAGATTCATGACAAATCGTAATATCGTAACAATCTTCGTGAAATAGTAATAGAACGCGAACAATCCTAGTTAGTACTGTCAAAGGTCACAACAAAGAGGAAATCTATGGTCACAGATAGTCAGATACTGATGTTTTGAGAAATGATGTTGACAGATCATATGATAATAGTTTTGTTTGTGTGGGCTGGTTTGTAAAATAATTGTAAACGTGAAATAAAAAATAAAATAATTGGATGGAATGGACTCGATATTAGTATTTGTTAGCTCTCGGGAGTTTTGCTGTTCGAGCAGGTATGAGAAAATCTACTAGGTGAGTAGATTTTCAACTTTGTGTATGTTGTGTACCTATTTATTGTCTGCTAATTTTGTATCTACCCGCTGGGGCCTTATTTTCGAATTGAAGGAAGGGGGACGTTCTATCATTCCCCTCATGTTTCTCTCCGTCTCTCGTGATCCATGGAGATAATCACCCCACAGTTCTCTCAGTAAACTTTAAAAAATAAGGCTCCTGTACATATTACATTCACCTCTATTAGTTTCCATAACCTATTTCAATTCATGTTCATTCTGTTACAAATTTTTATCAGGATATTCGTCTCTGGAACAATCTGGCATCACTGTCTTGTTTTGACTTTATTGAATGACGAATTGTGGATTCCCTAGGATTCCGCAGATTTCACTTGCTTCCCAGTGGCGTACTCGAATTTCGAAGCATTTTATGTTCAATTTTCAAAATGAAATTTCTCGTTAATGTGAAGACTTAGGAAAAATCAAATATTTTAGTAATTTCTGTTAGACTCTCTCATATATATGTCTTGAATATATGCACTCATTTTGAAATCAGCCTGAATATGATGTTGTCTCTACTTACGTCGTTGAAGGTTGGGAAGTGTCATTTTACACACCTCTACTTCCCGCCCCCACTTTCCGCCCTCTCTACTTCCCGCCCTCAGTTCCCGCCCTCAATTATGTAATATTTTAGATATGTTCAGAACGTAACAGAGATTTATTAATTTTGATCGAAAGGGTTGAATGGAAGAGTAAGCTCTGAATATAAGTCTCTGACGATGTATTCAGAATTTGAATTCTGCCTTTTGATAGTTACAAGTGCATTTTGCAGACTCGATTACATCTCTGTGAATATTCTTTTTTTTTTGTACTTGTTATACTTATCAATTAAATCATTATTATTATCATTATTATTATTATTAAATATGATGGTTGTTAACAAAATAGTATACAAACCTCGGTAGGAAGTTTCATTCCTGTTTCGAGATTATAGCTGTCAATGAAGACCTTGCTGAAATCACAGCCTGGGGAACCATCAACCTAATTGAATTCAACGCCACCAAAACTCAAGCCTGTATTTTCTCTAGAAAGACGGAACTCAGTATGCCCGACATTGTAATGTCTGGCACCACCATCCCCACCAAGCCTACCATGTCCATGCTCGGTATCGCCATCAGCAACACTCTTTCATCATGTCAGATCCATCGCAAAAGCTGCTTCACAAAAACTCGGATTCATGTTTCGTGCGAAAAGCTACTTTACACCTCAACAGCTTTTTATGATCTACAAAGCATAGATACGGCCTCTTCTAGAATACTGTTCCCACATATGGGGTTCAGCACCAAAACATACGCTGATTGTCTTAGATTCCATCCAGAGAAGAGCCATCCGCCTGGTGGGTGACGCCACACTCACTCACTCTTTGACTTTCACTTTTCTACCGATACTTCCACGGGAAATGTTCTTCGGAAATCTGTGCTATCATCCCTTCACTAGCAATACCAGTCAGACGAACTAGACAAGCCCAGGCAGCACATCCTTTCGTTGTCAACCTCGAAAGATATCGAACAGCACTTTATCAAAACTCCTCCATCCATAGAACGGCTAGGCTCTGGAATTCATTACCTGAGGAAGTATTCCCAACAAGATTCGAAGTTCAAAAAAAATTCCAATACCCACCTCCTATCCCTATCCTCCCTAAGAACGCACGATGTTCTCTGAACATTATAGGGATTCCCTTTCGTGCGCTCCAAGCGATAAAAAAACTAACCACGACGCTTTGCGTCTCGGTTAACTAACTAATCTCACGCCAGGAATGAATCACTTCCCACCTTGGTGTGTAATATCGTTACCACCGATAAAACAAGGCCTGCATGCTCCGTGGGTGACGTCACTTAGTCAGGCCTAACCAGCGGCTCGAAACGACAAGCGCTTATAGCGCTATAAGGCGACCGCGTATTTCGATTTTAGTTTTAGATCATTATTGAGCCGATTTTGCTTTTTTTAAGGGCTTCCGGTTGAAAGAGGATGCCAGCCGTCAACTGAGCCCTTCTTCGCATCCCATTCGATTTTATCATGGAAAAACGAAGTTTCAAAGCAAAAACCAGAATAAAACAAAAATACCCACCTACAGCAACCCATTCGAAATAAATATATTGGCAAAAATTGTAGTGATTCAATCTCATTAGAGGTAAACTTCACACCTACTTATACAGGGCCCGCAGAACATAAACTTATCATGAGATTGATCGAAAGAAAATTGGGGAAAATGTATTTTAGTTAGATAGACATGCCGTTTGTTATACCTAATTACCTATATTTATCTTGGAGAATTCCTGTTACCTAAAAAATTTGCCAGTGAGTGTTTTCAATTTCCTGTTGTTGGATTTTTTACCCAATTGGTCGTTAGACTTGAAACAGTAATTTTTAAGTAGAGTGTTTGTAGTACATGTTAATATAATAGTTGCAATTTGATCATTGGAATGAATTCTGCATTCATTGCCACGAGGCAAATGACCGGTTTTCATAAAGAAATTTGAGAATGTATTGAGTCATAAGCCAAAGAGTCCAATGCATTCGAAATATGTTTCAAAACCCTCTTTTTCTGATTATCAAGACATTTTTCCGAATTATGTATCTCGTTTTTATCTATTTCAATTAGTAATTCCTTGATTTGATTGATATTATCAGAGATAAAAGATGTTTTCAGATTGGCTTTTAGAGATGTTTGTATCGCTAGGTCATACAAAAATGATTCCACATTCAAAACAAAATCAATCACAACCGAATATGTAATTACGGGCCCTGGAGAATAAGACAATTTGAATAATGTGACTTTTTGCAAATCGATAATTTCGAACCACTTTTCGGGCAACTGAAAAGACTCTAATACAACTAGAAATTCTGTGTAGCAAAATGATTTTTGGTAATTTTCGAATTCAGTTTTACTTTTGGTAAGTGCTTGTGCCAAATTTTTAGTCTCTAGTATCTCAAGTTTTTCATCACGACTTGTGCGTAATTTTACATCTTTCGATAAATAAGATGGACAGTTGGGAAATTGAGTGGGAATAACATCTCGTTTGAGGCTAGGAATTTTCAAATCTATTGTTACAGTTTTGCCAGTTTTTGAATCGGTTGCAGTAGTTGAAGTAATAATATCATCTTTAGTAAAATGTAATTCACATACTTTACTGTACTTAGATGGAGTCGTAAAATCCTTGAGGTGAATTGCATGTACCCAAATTTCGATAGTTCCTTGTCCAACGGGAAACTAAAAGCATGAAGTTTTGGACCACCCACATAATTCCCCCGACAAAAGGGAACACAACACTTGTAATGCATTGTTATTTCGCCTATCACAACACGAAATATTCCACAAAACAGTAATTTCTCCGCCAATTATTTTGATGAATAAACAACAAGAGAATTCGAGCACACCACACGCGATTTACCTACGCCACCGTTCTTAAACAAAAACAAACTGACGATCGATCGACGCGAATGCCTTGGAAGATGGCCTGAGTATGCGACGTCACGAGCTGTTTACGTCAGAGTCTGCTGGCCTTGTTTTATCGGTGGTAACGGTAATATACTATAACTTGCTCGGTGATATCAAATGTTTTTTAAATCGATCGACTAATGTGCTAAAGTCGTCGATCTTGAAAGAAGCAAAAATTTTTATTTCTTGAAAGATTTAAAAAGATGTATGGAGTTCAGTTCATTCAGTTCAGTTGGTATGTCGTTGTGTATTTTTGGTCCAAGAAAAATTTTATATAGTGTCTGTAGGTGAATCGATTCAATATATTCAGGAATTTGATTGGTGATCACTTGAGAGCAAAAATTCATTCTCAGACGGATGAACTCATCATGACAGTATCTTATGTCAAAGTCGTATCAAGTTCAAATTATAGTGCGGGCTTATAGTGATGGCGATTTTCAAAAGTATCAGTGAACTGTGCGATGCTGTATCTCTGGTGGTGTACTGCAATGACAACACGATGTTGTTAACAGTGGACAACATTGAGCATTGGATACCATGCGTGAAAGTTCCTGCAGGCCAGTCTTGGGAGAGAGCAATTGCAAAAGAAGCAGAAGATGTGAGTAGGTTTCCGATCAATCCTTTCTGTTGGTATAGAAAATAATCAGGTGGTTTTGCATTTATCTTGCGATGGGTTTTTTGATTTTTTTTTTTTGTTTTCTACGTATTTTTGTCTGAAAATAACGGATTTGATAATGAAAATTTGAACAAACTATCGTAAGTTTGCACTTATTATGCGATGGGGGCTTTTCCGGAAACTTTCTTGTAACCTACGTATTCTCGCCTGAGAAACAGGAATTTCACAATGAATATGTGAACAAACCACTATTCATCGAGATATTCCACGGAAAAGTTTGAAATGTCACCTTCTTTTGCCACCCATCTTGGGTCGGATTCACAACTACTTGTCCTTATTTTTTCATCACTGGACACTTTATATTCTCACGTTCTACTTCAATGACACATTCAATTCATTAAAATGAACTAAAAGTATGTTTTTTCGTTGATTTTTCCATATTTTGTTAAGTAAACAATTACATTAGCTGACAGCCTCAATTACCAAATCTTTAATCTTTAAAATACCAGATGTCAATTGGAGTTCAATTGACAAATTTGCAAGAGTTTAGACATAACACCTGCCATAATTTCGAATTTTGTTAAATATCCTTCACGGAAGAATAGTTATTCATCATACAAGGAAAAAATATTAGTAGATTTTAGCTCCAGGTTGTGTTGTCTTCCGACGCGTAGCGGAGGGAGACAAAAAACCGTGAGCTAAAATCTAACATTTTTCCCGTGTATAATACACTATTTTCTTCTGTGACAGGAAAAAGGACGAATCAATATTGGGAAGATATTACATTATTTCGAAATCTGAAAATTATCGACGGGAAATTTTAAGTTTTTAACAGTAGGGACACCTGCGTTGTAGGCATCTTTATCATTCTTTTGAAGTAATCAAATATCTGATGTCACTTCTGTCAGTCTGATTCTGTAATTTGATTTCAAAAAATGCGAATTTAGTGGTTGTTCAGTAATATACGTAACCGCGAAGTCGAATGGAAGATAAAAGGACTTGCAGTTCTTTCTCGGAGACGGTATTATTGACTTATTTTTTGTAACTATAGCACAACAAAAGCCATCAACAGTGTATATTTATGTGATATAGACCCGGGAAAAAAGTAATTTATGAAAACCTGCCAACAGAGATGAAATACCAAATTTTTTTCCCGTCACAGAAAACAAGTTTTGTTTCACCAACAAAATAATGTTGGTCATTTTTTTTTTGTTGAATTGAACACAATTCTGCGGAATCAATAGAACATAAAACAAATTTTGTTGATCCAACTATCATCTCATTGTTCAATCAATCATATGCATTTTGTCTCTTCGACAAAATTACATTGATTTTGACAAAGATTTAACTGAATACAACATCATATTTTGTTGAGTCAACAATCATTTCATTGTGCAACCAATCGAAAGGTTGTTTTCTATTCGACAAAATTGAGTTAATTATGACAACATTATCTTTTGTTGATTCAACACATCACTATCAAAAAATATGTTGTTATTTCAAACAAATTTGTCTGTTGAACAGAACCCAAAAATACATTATATCAAACAAAAATTTTGTTGAATGATTATCTGGTTGCATTTCGCCACCAGGTTGCGTTTCTTCCAACCTTCCTACGCTCGCCTCGATTGGGGTGTAAATATACCTACCTAAAATATCCGTTCATATTATTATATGAGGCTGTCCTAGAATTACTCATGACACTTATACAATTATAGGAAATAATTGATCCCTAATTTTTCTAAGGTAAGAAAGTCATTTTTTAAATATTATTCAGCAAAATATTTTGTCAATTCTAAATACGATTTGGTTGATCAAACAATATATATTGTTATTTCAACATATTCACTCTCTGAAAAACTGGAAATGTTGTCACTTGATTGAAATGATATAATCATTTCAATCAACAGAATTGTTCATAAGAGCAGATATTGTATTATAGGAACAAAATAGTCTTTGTTTATTCAAACAATTTCTGCTGTTAATTTGAATCATCAATGAGTTACATCAAATGAATTTTGAATTGAGAACTATCAAAAAACATTTGTTGCGATGACAAAATATTTTGTCGTGGATATACACCGCGTGTCCCAGCTAAAATGTCCCCCCCTGTAAAAAATCAACCGCGCCGATCGAATGACTTGAAATTTGGTCACCCAGTATATTTGATGATGCTCACTTGATTTATGCTATTGAAAAAATCGAAAGTATACAGGGTCACATCGAAGTGCACCTCAACTTTATTATTTGAATAGGGACACCCAGTATAGACCTCAATAGTGTACCTAGGAAAAAAATAATTGCATTCAAGATCATGGTTGAGAAAATAAATGAATATAACTGAGCACTTCCAATATGTTCCTTCTAGTGATTTAACTAAAAAACTGAACATGTTTTAGTTCTGATACATATTTCTTGTTGTTGAATAAGAATAATATACAGTCGGTCTAAGATAAGGTTGAACAGCATGGCGATCTCGGAAACGGTAGGAGATACGAAGTCGTTTAAATGGGGACAAAGTTGCGCATTCGGAGGCTCATATCAAGAGCCTTCGGAAATTTTCAAAATTTATTCTAGTTTTTGAGTTATATCGAAAAAAGTGAATTTTTGGAATATATATTTTATTTTTTTTTCTTCGTTATTATTAGAGATACAGAAAAACTGAAAATACTTTTCCACAGCAACTTTTGATGGCGTTCAACGTGGTGACACTGATTTTTTCAGGCGACGTTTCGTATTTGTAGAACCATCATCAGCTTTTGTTTTTTGAATACGGTCCTGATAATTTTTTAACAGATTCTGAAAGGTTTTTTTTATATTGAATTCAACCATGTATTGAACAAGATGATTTGAATGTGTTTCGACCTATTTCTATTCATCACCAATGTTTTCTCAAGTTCCGGCTCCAATGCATGATCATGACCACTAGATATCAATTAGAATTGAGAAGAGGTGTTTTCATAGTGAAAATAAGTTAATATTTCAGTTTCACAGAACTAAAATGATTCAAATGTATTGCTAGTGGTGAGAAAAATTTGATATAGGTACACCTTGGTAGTGAAAAATATCATTACCATGGGACCTTATACTCCTCGGCTGAAGCCTTGGTCTCTGGGTAATACTGATATTCTTTGTACTACCTTGGTGTATAAATAACTATTCCTCACTTCTGTATAGAACTGTGTCATGGGATAACCAGGATGCATAATAGTTTGCAGTTATTCTCAACATGTCTTCTTTGAAAAAAATAGTGGCATGAGCTTTATGAGCAAGACTGAAAAAATTAAGTATAGAAGTTAACATTTTTGGGCATGTGGCACTCTGATCCAGAGTTGTTCCAGGAATCTGAAAATGTTACAATATACAGGATATTTTATTCATTTGAAAATTTCGAACCGGGGTCACGGTACAAAATATGTGAAAACTTTTCTCTTCACATGAAATGTATCTATAATAAATCTTATTTTGATTCCCCCGATATTCAAACAGTTATGACTTGTCTAATCGATTCGTTAATACCCGCTATATTCACCTATGAAAGTTGAATAATATTCCTCCCATGATTTCAGATTTTTGGAAACAATAATGTAGACAAAATCTTGCGAATATGCAAGACATGGATGCCAAAACACCCTCAAGCCTTCCTACTTCACGTCGTCTTCGGACTCGCTGTTGATCCTGCGATGAAAGTCAAAGCTAAAAACTCATTGGGAAAGGTAATTCACATCATAATGTCAAAGAAATATTCATTTCATGGCTTATAACTTTCTCAAGAAATACACGGTGATACATAGGGTGTCCTAGAAAATGTGCAGAATCTTTCGTATGGATTCTGAAAAATTAAAATGACAAGTTCGTAAGACGCTTCGTTGTGAATGAAAAACGAATTTCTTCTATTCACTAGAATACCACTCAACAAGAATATGAGGTATATTGACGTTCTGAGTATTTATTAACAAACAGGGTTGTAGTATTTTCCAGCTGCTATGGCGTCGTTAGGGACATGATAATGTTTTTATCACCTTTCAGACAGATAGGGATGAAAAACATTCCGTCATAAGATATTTGTAAGAAATATGCCCTCCTATTAGAACTCGATAAGATTACAAATTTTGATGTAGGTGTCATCATACTCATCCTTTGACCAAGAATTCCAAAGCTTCGCCGTTATATAGACGAACCTGTTTTGGTGAAGATTTGCTCAATATATCTCAAGGTTGACCACGGAAGGATGTGCTTGTCGATGCTAATGATGGAATGATAGCAGAAATTCCTGAAGAACGTTTCCCGTGGAAGTACATATTGAGAAGAAGAAAAATTGCTGACTATTCTACGGTGTCCTAATGAAATCGAAGAATCAGTGAGAATGTGGCATCAGCCACCAGGTGAATGAACCTTATCTTTCTTTCATCTCTTGGGGCGTACGGAAGGAAAAACGTATGATGTTCGAAGTACCTCGTGCGTACCTAGGGAGAATAGGTGTTGATTTTTTTTCATGGAATCCAAGAGCAGCAGCGTATATTTCGCACAGAATGAAGTTTTCGTGAAACAGCATTCGCGATAGTTCTAAGTTCATGATTTTTCCGTCAAAGAGTAGGTATTGCTGATGGAAATAATGAGCAAAAATATAGTAGACTTTGTAGAAATGTTGGTACCAGACATTGACAATACCCACGGGCTTGCGATTCTGTGGCGTTGAATTCAAGAAGGTTGTTTTTTCCCAAGGCTGTGATTTAACGATCTTTATTGACAACGTCGACCTGCCTGAACAGAAATGGAAAGGAAATGCAGTTTGGAGAGAGAGTACTATCATCTGCAAAGCTGTGGATAGGGCAAGTGATTACCCTTGTAAGCTACTGACATGTTATATTTCTTGAGTGGTTTATCAAAGTAATTGCAGATGTCTCAACCATGACTCTATGATAAACATTGTTATTTGTGATAACCTAAATGGTACATCTTTGGTATTATTTATCATAGGATTATATCCTGATAATTGTCTACACTCTTTTGAATTGGTGACCCCGACGTGATTGAACCCCAGCAATAATGATTCTGCATCGTCAGAAGTTTCGAGCAACAATTTCAAGCTATAGGATTTGTAGCCCAATGATCCGATTATAATATGGTTCACACAGATTGAGACAATATTTTCTACAAGGAGAGTAACTTCAGATAAATTGGAATATAATATTGTATTATCTTCGTTGTCGCCTCAATCAGCCACTGAAGTGGCAGATATTTTGCTGAATCCACCTAACACGAATGCTTACGAAATTTTGAAAGGCGCTATTATTAAGCCAACATCGATTTCCGATCAAAAAAGGTTTCTTGGAATAACAATGTTCGTTATTTCACTCGACTGATATCTGTTATTGTTTTTATGTCGATTATTCTTCATTTGGAAGGGGACTATGTAGGCTACTCACATGTTATATATCTTAAGTGGTTCATCATAGTGATGTAATTGCAGATGTCCTAACCCTGACGACATAATGAACATTGTAACTTGTGATCACCTAAGAGGTATTTGTTATTATTCATTATGTCCTGATAATTATCTACACTCCTAAACTCTCAACAGTGATAAATCTACTGCTTCTGGACAAAAACACTAGGTACTACTTGGGATGACCTTCATATTCGTACAACTGGTACAGCATAACTACAGATGATAATATCGTTCTGTACATAACTACGTTTTTAATTTGTTTTCATGAGCTACTTCACCTCATAGTGATAAATATTAATCAGGACATCATACTACTGTATTCTGTACCAATAACAGACATGACATGACATATAAGATAAATGACAGTTTGGCAGTTCATATGAATAAAATCCTAACAAACAGATCATTGATATGGAGTAGGAACAATGTTGGTGCCATAATTGATCCTTGTAGAAAGCCATAATAGAGGGCTATGGTATCAGACGATACTCCGTCTACTACCACATAGAGCGATCTATCTGAAGAAAACTCGATAAAAGTTGGCAAAGCTTGGGGGGGGGGTAAGCCGTATGATGATAATAGTTGTTGGGCAGGCTCTTGTATCCTTCCATGTGGATTTGTTGCACTCTAGCTATTTTTCAGATGGAAAACACCCAAAATGTACGAGATGGGCAATATTCGGTGTCAATATTAGTGCACACTCTTTGAGAGCAATAGGTGGAATTCCATCAGGAAAGTTGGCCCCATTCGGCTGAGGATCAAGCAAAATGCCTCTGATATTGCGTTGATTGAACACCATATCAAGCATTCGACTTTCAACGGGTCGAATATCTGAGAAGAGTGTCCCCTGAGAATCTGAGATATAGTTTGCTGCCAACATAATATGCTATCTGCAAAAATTATCTTCCATTTGCGATGTTGTTGCTAATGTGAACTCGGCTTTGGAGAGTCGTGGAAATGATTTATTAGTGAAATTCCTTCCAAATACTTCAGCAAGGGACCAAAACGAACGGGAGCCATTGGGATAATCTATGAGTTCCGATCATATTTTGTCATTGTATGTTTTTTTCGGAGCCTCTATCGTTTGGCCTGGCTACAACATATTTTTTTGTAGTCACCAGGATAGGAGATAGAGGGATAGAATAGGGTTTTTACGCAAGTGACGGTATATACTGTAGGCCTGCGACACAGGGTTTATCGATGTTCTAAGTCGGTATGCCATTTAAGGGACCCACTCACTTAGTCCAAGTTAACAGAAAGGAGTGCCTCGGAGAGTCGCAACCCAGTCCATGCCCTGGCCCTGACCTCACCTTTCGGTTGGAAAAAGATCAAAATTTTGTTTAAGAAGAAGCTCGGCAATGAAGTGCAATGATCTTATCTCACGAAAATTGGGGCGCATGTAGGTTTGCATGTACGCCTAAGTCACTCCCCAAGGGTGGCATACGAACCGGAAGTGGAAATTTTTCAGTGTTATAGTCGATGATCTAAGTGTGCCATTTGGCGAAACAATGAATTCGGAAATCGCATACGATTCCGGAGACTATGAGAAATGCGCTACTTTTCATAGCAGTAGTAGACAAAATGTGTTTCCTAACTTTTTACGTACAATGCATATATTTATATTTCGATATTTCCACATGAATTTCACACGGTTATGTACAGAATTTAGTATGCAAGCTGATATTGCTTGGAGTACCTGTCAAACAAAAATAGGGTTACACGCAACTGTCACCATCAAGGACGTTTCAAAACTTTCATCAACACTACCATTCCATTTAGAGCAATATGGACTCCTTCACACGTTTTCATCAGTTTGTAAAAGTGTCCGATTACATGTCAAAATTAGAATAAAATATAATTGTTCATTTGACTTTGCCACTTTGTAACTTTTACAGTGAGAAGAATATTGTTACATGTTCTCAGAATCAGAGCGGTGGAGAGAATGTGTTTCGAACATATTCATGTTGAATCTGAGCCAACCTCAATTGTAATATTGAATGTAGATAATGTTTTAAGTTTAGGGGAAAACTTCGGTGGGTATCAGATATAGACATCATGAAGTTGTCTCAAAATAACAGTGTTAGAAGTCCAGAGCTGCTCGAATTTTTTTATCTAGCGAAGAAGATATATAATCCAGCTTATATACAACCCGAAGAATTGATAGTACTGGAAAACTTTTGCGAAACAGTAGATGATATTTTAGTTTCTGGAAAAGGAAATATTCATAGCCAGTTAGTTGATGCATCTGGAATTGATAAATTAGGTGAGTAAGTGATTTTCAGGTTATACCAAAGTTCCTTCAGATATTTTTAATATTAGGACTTGTTATAATTCTTTCCTTGTCGAAATTAATGTCTAAGAACAGTGAGAAACATTTCTTCGTATGCGGATAGATATACTGTATCAATGCACACCATGTGGAAACCTTATCATAGTTAGTTCAACTATTGATCTCTCTGTACAATTTTGGGACATGAAAATGGATCAGGAATATTACAAGTATTCTTCTCGAATAATATTTCTGCTTGATATTGATTAACTATGACGTCAAAGATAGTATACATTGGAAAATGCAATACACTTGGAACTTTGACACTTTCAAGTGATTGAGACATAGTTGATATCATTAAAAAGGTGGTTGGAGGTCAATGAAATTATTGGAAATATGGATATACATCGCATTCCGTTTGAAATATTTACCTCTGCTCTCTATATTATTTTTGGTGTATCCTTTGTATATGCAGCCCTAAATTATCGTTATTGTAGTCCAGCTCACATTCCTTTCTGGTTCATGTTCCATTTTTCTAGCCATCATAGACCCCGAGCAATCAGGACCCTGAAACGCCTGAAACACTTTTGTCCAACACGAATTCGTTCGTGTTAATTTTCCAGTAGTAATACTATGAGTACTTCCAAATATTTGGGTGATACATAGATAACTTGTTGCATAATTACAAAATTCAGTTTCGAAGCGCTGTTATATTCTGTTATCTCTTACAACCGTAGAAACAGTATAGTGAATAACTCGTACGGAATGCTAATTCCCCACTAGTATCATTTACAGCATGAGCCGATGGCTCTCGTTGGAAATACAATTCCGTGCTCCTTAAACAATATACTTGTATGTACCCTGTTGAGAAATGCGTAATTTTGTGTGACGATGGAATTTTACAGAGTTACACAAAATGTTCCTTCTTACTGATTTCGTTCAGAATTTTCTCAAATTCTGATGAATCATTCTGCTTCAACAGAAATAATGACCAGTTCTTCATGAGTTCTTCCTAATATTTACAATATTCAGTATAGTCAAGTTGACTTTGTTCGGCACTTTGTAGTATCCGTCAATCAATAATATGGTCACAAATCAGAGACGAATTGCAAGAGTAGACTAGTTTGATACTTCCATTAGTGAAAATGGCTGATTCAAGTTCAAATTCTCAATATCTAGGAAGCAGCACAAAATGCAATATTCTCTTTTATATCTTTATTTCGTAATTGGTGTTGGAATCAACATTGTTTTCATCACCAGTAATGTAAACTTTCCTCGAAAATTTCACTTTACGTATCTGGTTACTTGCAGTAAGACGTTTCAAAACTTTCGTCAGTTTTGGAAAGTGTCAAACTACCCACATAGCCCATGTACGTCTTATGTATGTCCATGTACATCACGAACCTCATGGACGTCCAGTGGACGTCCACTTAGGTCCATGAAGGTCCGGTATAAATCCAATAAACGTCCAGATATACTGGATATAACTTCTTATTGACGCCATGGATGCCCTGTGGACGTACATGATGAACGTCCATTGGATGAAGTTTCTTGTAGTTCATATAGGTCCATTATCCGTCCAATAAATGTCCAGATATAACATCTTATGTACATACATTTAGGATTTCCAATGGGCGTACATAAAGAATGTCAATTAAACGTACTACAAGGATCTTTCATTCGTTCATTATACGTCAGGTCACGCCCATAAGTCAAGGATGTCCAATGGACCTACATGAAGAACGTTATCGTTATTCAATGTCAAGTTGCGTCCATAAAGGTCCAGAATATGTCCAACAAATGTCCAGATACACAATATATTACATATGATGTACCTACGTCAAGGATGGTCAATGAACGAACATAAGGAACGTCTACAGGACATAGTCAATATTCCAATGGAATATATCATTAACTACAAAAATACATGTATAATATTTATTATTTTATATTCAGTTAGGCTTGAACTGAATTCATTCTATACTTTCAGGGCACCACTGGTATTCTATATTCGTTGATTTATATTTTCTTCAGTCTATTCGCTGGATTATGATTCTTTTCTCTGTTAAAAGAAAGATAATAGTATTAGTGTTCGTCAGTCGAGGGAATGTGGAAATCAATTGTCTAAAAGCTCTAAATCCTACATATCATCCAGCTCAACATCGACTAATGCTGTGACATCCAATTTCAATTCAGATTTCAGAAAGTCATTTCTATAATATCATTAGCTTACCCGTCTATGCGTTGCGAACAAAGCACAAACTTATAGGTTATTCACAGAATATCACGAGATACCTACCTTTCAGGGCACATAAGATTATAGATGTAAAATAAGTATATTGAAAGAAATATCTGAACATATACTTTCCTATCTGCTTTGAATGATTCAGTTCCAAATGGTCTGATTCCCAAAATGTATCACGAACACAACACACAAAACTCCATATGATATATGATCACGGTCTCATGATACAACTCAAAGTGTCAAAATGGTGTCTCATTCTCGTCTGTCGTTTACACTTTGGAGCTGGATTATCTCGGTCTTGTCCTTGTCTGTTGCCCCACTTCATGATCCGATCCGCACAATCACGCCTCCTACAATTTGGATCCGATTGTACATTCCATGGAACTACCATTTTAATGATGATTCGCATTGACAGATATTGTACTTCCAATAATGATCATCCATCAGATATACAATTTTGGACTTACAAAATATACTCGGAATCGTACATTCATTTGAAATATCCACATTAGTAATACTCTATAATGCATTTGTACCTATACCTATAGTATTCTGGAATATGGTGCCATAATATGGTATCCCTATTATTCAGTTCATAAAAATGATATAGAAAAGGTACAGAAAAAATTCTTAAGATTTCTGTATTACAAAAAACATGGTGAATATATTTTCAATCTCAGTTATCATTCTTCCTTGAATGAATTCAAATTCACAACTTTAGAATTTAGAAGAAAAGTTGCTATTATATTATTTTTCTACAAGCTACTGCATAATGAAGTAGATAATTCACAATTGTTGACACCAATTTGCCTGAACTGCAGTACATATTTTAATAATAGAAGAAGAGATACATTTGTTTTGCCTAAACATCGAACCAACCTTTTGAATTCCCCACTATACAATAACAATTGAAATTTCTTTGAGGAATATAGATTTCTATGTTAAATGCAATGTGAAAACATATAGAAAAAAAATTGAAATTGACATATCATCCTTAGAAGTAAATGAGAATTGTAACTGGAAGCCAATTTAAATGAAAAACGTCCATTTGTCAATTTCAACTAAATGTGTCTCTCAATTTGATTTTGACTCATTTGGAGTTAATTTAGAAGGCATCGTGTTATTTTGAGAATGGTGATTTACTTAGTTTCAATATTGTAATCGATTATTGGAACTGCCTGTTCGATAGATTACTTAATAAATTAAATAAAATGAAAAAAAATCGTGAATGAAAAATCTAGATACGATTCAGTACATTTTTCAGACGTTCTAAAACCTACAAATATGGATATTTTGGTGATGTTGACTATCGTATTCTCAATTGACATCCATTAGATGTCGTGTGCTATATGGGATATGTCAAGAATCAAAATTAGAAGAATATAGTTGTTAAACTGAGTTTCATAATAGTCACCGCATTTAACGAATCTTCTCCTTTATTGTAATGTATTCTAGCTCAGGAATCAATACTACGAGAATTCATATTCATGATCTTCCCTGCCAGTTATATGAGTCTACGAGTATTCTCAAAATTTGTCGTGGAACTTGGCTGGCCGAAGGAAAGTGCTGCTTACCTCTTCAAGTAACATTAAATATTATCATTTTTTGCTTCAACTTCTACGATGCTTTCTTTATCAGCTCTGCAGATGTGAGTAACAGACGTGGAGTGTCCTTCAGAGAATTCCTATACTTTCTTGCAACTGTTGATCCTAATACTTCTCATGGTGGAGGAGCAGCTGAAATTCGTTGCAGGTATATGTTCAAGTAAGTAATACATCGAGAAATTATCGAGGATCATCTAAAGGGAACACGAAGCATAAGTCAGTGGGATCTCCACACCAAATAAGGTCCAAAGGATTTTAAATTGGAGGTAAATTCGAAAAAATTAGGAATTGATATACCTTTTGCTCCAAACGGCATAAAGAGGTGTACCTTATCTGCTTATGCAGGAAAAACTTGTTGCTATACAACGTTCCAAATAATTTGAATGAAACCAGTAATCGAAATGGACACTGACATTGTGTGAACACAAAATGATGGGGTTTCCAATAAATAAATCACACAAGGTTGGTTTTATAACATCTTCAGAAAAAATTGTTCACACGGCAGCAATAGTACATTGTTTTATTAGGACCAAAAGTTACACTTTGTTTGACAAGCGAATTTTGCATTTGCGAGGCGGATCGTTTAGCGAAGCCGAGCGAAAGCAAAATTTGCGAGTCGTACAAAGTCACTTTTGATCCGAATGAAACATGCTATTTTTTCTACAACCGTGTGAAGTTACCACCAATGCCGTGCCATATGTATGCAATGCAACAAATATTGACAAATAATCCGTGTGGTGAGAACTTTCTACCTGCATCAACAGCAGGTTCATTCAATTTTCAAGGATATTCGAATTGTAGTTTCAATATAAATATAATCACAGAGTGACATATTTGTATATGGACCAGGTGCTCTAATGGCAATTACCGCGCCAGTGGTAGGAACAAGACGTGGAATATGTTAGGTTAGTGGTGAGCATATAAACAATAATAATAGTGATTATTTATTCCTCTCCACTCCATACTACACTGTGTTTGACTTGATGATCAAATGAAGCTAAACAATATCGTTGTTTGAGACAAAAAAACTATTGCTTTCCATGATTATTCAAAAACAAGTTATCCATCATGAGAATAACGAATGAAATATAGATCAAGCAAGTATTTGAATCTTGAAGGCTTCCCTGATCAAAACAAAAATTCTTTACTGAGATGTTTATATTTCCAATACTCAACTATGATAAGGTGAATTTATATCTCCAGCATCGGTATGAAATGCCAAATCTGCCGAAATCGGAAACAAATCAGGTATGCGTCTCAACCCAAATAACCAACCGTCACAATGTTGTTTATTCTTGATGACGTACAGTACATCCATTTTAGTTCCTAGGAGCTAAAGGTCAACTTTAGCTCCTAGGAACTAAAATTCAACTTTAGCTCCTAGGAACTAAATATGTTGCCTAGCAACATACCTATTTTTGTGTCAGTAATAGAAACGTCAATTTAAGAGCTATTTTGGTATCAAAATGGACGACTTTTGTGTCGGTTGCAGAAAAATTCATTTTATATTGATTATTTCGACTAATGTCGAAGGTGTCCTATGTCATCAGTGACAAGGCAACTGGGTGATTTATTGTAGTTTCCGGTTGAATGATGAATTCGCAAACCAAGTCTTCTTCTACGCAGGAGAAATGAGAAATAAAGTCGACCGAAATTTATTTCAACCAACTCGTAAATCAAAGGGCGATTGATGATCCCGAAAATGAGTGTTGAAATATCATCAAACGCCCTAGTTGTTTGAATAACTATTTCCGTCAACCTCGTATCAACGAGAATGTTCAATGTTCATGAAATTGATCGTAAATGACCCCCATCAGTTGTTTGAATAACTATTTCAGTCAACCTCGTATCAACGAGTATGTTCAATGTTCATGCAATTTATCGTTAATGATCCCCATTAATGATAAATTCGTCTATTATTGCATGATTGTAGTATAGGCAACCAAACATACACCACATCCCCCCACTGTTGGCACTATAATTCACGGAATCTGTATGTAAATCGAAAATATGGATTTCTTCGATCATTTTACGTTAACTGATTTTAACGTTTCTGAACACAAGAAGAAACTTTTATCCATATTGACAGTTCATACAGGAGGTGCATGTCAGTGATTATGTTGACGTTCATGCCTACTGGGTGAATTTTCTCAAACCCACTCAGTATAGCGAAAGTTCAATAAGTCGAAACTATATGAAATGACAACCTAATGAATATGGACTTCAATTCAGAATATTTTTTCCATTTTAGATACACACTGATGATTATTCGTGTCGTTTATACTTCTTCTATCCGATTTCCATTTTCACAGGTTTTATGACAGGGATAGTGACAACCTGCTGAAGGCTGATGAATTCAAAAACGTAATTTGTGATTTGAGAAAGGCAAAAAAATTACCCACAGATGCACCAAGTGTGGCAAAGGAGGCTGCAGAAACATATAAGTAAGCTCAAAAAAATAAAAAGTTGTACATCCATACACGGGATAGAAAGAAAAAATTCTAACTCTCATAAGTATATTTTTAAAACATTCATGCAAAAAGCAGAACCTTATTGAACTATATTTAGTGGAAAAAGAAGGTCTTTATTGCACTCATCTGTCATTCTACTTCAACGTGCTGTCATCATGACAAACATTTTTTATATTGCAACTGTGGTAAAAGAAACGTCATATATTCATATTGAAAATTGCACCAATTGTTCGTTCACTTTCAACATTGAGGGTAAAAATAAAGTTTGAGTTAAATTGTTCGTAACGTATTAGTTCCTGTTTCAATGCAAATCGATATTAATAATAAAGTATTCAAGTTGCGTTTTTCATTTTCCTACACCTAGTGCCGCACCTCAATAAACATTCACTTTTTGCACTTGTTGCATAAATAACTATCATATATGAAATTTCAGTTTATGTATAAACTAATAAAACCGACTTCATTCTAAATAGTGATATTCATGATAGGAACAATCGTCAAAAACAAATTAATAATACATGTCAAAGCTGCAAAATATAAAATTACTCAAAATGCTCCTAAATGCATTGGACCTAAAATCTTTAATCATCTTCCAGAAATCATCAAAAGAACTGAAAATTTATCGATATCCAAAAAACGTCTGAAGTCGCTTAAGTAAGATATAAGTGCTGACCATTCCTATACAAAATGAAAAATGTTTGTCATTTTAGGGAAAATACAAGTTGAATTGAATTGAAAAAAAAATATATACAATATTATCATGACACATGTTTTTCTAATTTGAAAAACCTATAACCTCTTATTCATTCCAAATAATTTTTCTGAAAATGGATACCTTGAACCGAAACAGTGAGATAAATAGCTATGCAAGGGAGCAAAGGTATCCATTTCCTCCCGCGTGTGGAGTTTGATGTTCGACGCGTAGCGAAGGGCACTAAGCACACCATTTATCCACGAGGTAAGATGAAAAAACAATTATAATTGGTTTCGAGAATATTACATTTGATATATGGATTGCACTTGTTATGACCTGTTGAATTCGAATTGGTAAAAATATACAGGGTGTTCCATTTGGAAAAACAAAGTTGCTGGCATGTCCAGAGAAACCGGAAGTCTGCCATAATGGATTTGTAATATGTTCTTATACGAAATGGTAGCCTTAATGCATGTATAACTGTACCAAATTCCAAGAAAATCCGTTCTTGAATGCAGATGTAACAAGGGTGGCCTTATACCCTAGAGATAAGTTTTTCTTGAATGATTTTCAGAATAATTAATTCCATTCATGACATCAGTATAGAACCCTTGAAATAGTGTCTCCGAAAAATACGTGATTTTCTCAATTCCTGTCGATTTAACAACCAATACACATAAATTCGAATGAAAATATACAATAACTCTTCACAAACATGGTTCTGATTTCGTTTTCAGAGTAATGCTTTCAATGGTATATCTCCGCAAAAAATCATCTTTGAACAAAAAAATATATCACAGGAAGGAAGGAATGCTCGAAGTCATCTCCACAAATTTTAATGATATTATTAACTAATTCATGAGGGACATGTTTCGGTCTTATAAAAGACCATCTTCAGCCTAATTGAAAAGTCTACAATACAAAACAATGATATTGAAATGAAAAGATTACCTATTTTATGCTACTTACTTGGAGTTGAAAAAATTATTTTCTGTCAATGCCCATAGTCGAGAGTTCCAGAATGAAAATTGAGTAAACGGGTTCTCAATAATTGAAGGGCCCCGTGCCCTGAGAGCGTATACTAGGTTTTATGAAAGAACATTTCATATAACCAAAAAGGTATATGAAGGGTATTGTCAAACAATTAAAATCTGACAACACCATTAACTAGCGGGTTTTTAAAAAAGGGGTTCCCCGTTCCCTTATGAAGGCATTATTTAAAGCAAATATCAATAAAATTGATGGGGCAAGCAGCCAGCACGTGTTTTAAATCTAAACTAATTTGGTTAGAAAACACTGAAAATTATGTCAATTGAAGACATGGACAAGACGTTGACATAGAGTCAATGTCAATGTCAAGGGATAAACATGAAAATCTGACCATGAGCATAGGCATTTAACAAGATCTATTACAATTATTGGAGAATTTGGATTAAGGGGGGGATACATGTAGGAGAGAGTTGAGCAACCTGAAAAAACCATTAACTATGAAATATCATAAAATAAGTTGAGACCAAGGTAGGTGAACTATCAGTGATTAAAATCCAAAGCATTAAAAAATTTTATACAATCAAAATGTGTTTGCTCATTAAGAGACAAGACAGAATTATTATTCAAGGAAGAGTTAATTTCGAAAATTTCCAGTAAATTCATTAACCTACCATTTGGACAGACATGTAGAATTTTGAGGTCCTGATTTGGATCAAAACTATGGTGTGAATTTAGGATGTGGTTTGCAAATGAGCTTTTAGTATCATATTCATCAAATAAAGGGGGAGTATTCTTGGATTTTTCAATAATTTTAACATGTTCAGTGACTCTGGTTAAAATTTTTCTACCACTTTGTCCAACATATTGAGCATTGCAATTTGGATCAGAGCAAGAGATACAATATACTCCAGATTTTTGATTCAAAGGAACTTTATCTTTAGAATTAACAAAATTTTTTGAAATATTATCCACTGTGTAGAAAGAGATGTTAATATCCTCACTATATCGATGAAAAATGTTTTTGATATCATAGGAGACTTTGCCAAGGAAAGGAATAGATGAAAACCGTACTCGTGGATTTTGTATTGGTAATAAGCTTCTGTTGAAGGATTTATTTTGGTGTTTATTAAACATCTTATTAATAATGTGGGGAGGGAAACCATTGTTGTGTCCAATCTGCTTTATAATATTCAGTTCCTTGTCAAAATTTTCTGGACTCATAGGGATATTGAACAATCTATGGAATAAAGAATTGAAAGCTGCAAATTTGTGTTGATTAGGATGGCAAGACATAAATGGAATTACAGAATCAGTGTGTGTGGGTTTCCGGTATATAGAAAAATCAAAAGTGTTATTGTTCATGTTAATAAGAAGGTCCAAAAATGGGAGAGAGTTGTTAGCTGCAACTTCCATAGTAAAATTTATAGCTGGGTGCAATGAATTGAGAAAGTTCAAAAGTAGGTTGACTTCTTGTAATGTGCCATCAAATAAAACCAAACAATCATCGACATATCGGTACCAGAAGCAGATTTTATGATGTAGAGTAAAATTAGTTAGCTGATTTTCCAAGTTGTGTAAGAATATTTCTGCCAGCAGTGGGGACAAATTGCTGCCCATTGCTAGACCAGAAACCTGAGAGTAAAATTTATTATTGAACTGGAAAAAGTTTTGTTGTAGTACAGTATCCAGCAGAGAACAAATATTTAGGCAATGGAAAGTAGGTATGTTGGAATCAAACAATAATTGGCGTACTAAATTCACACCATAGTTTTGATCCAAATCAGGACCTCAAAATTCTACATGTCTGTCCAAAAGGTAGGTTAATGAATTTACTGGAAATTTTCGAAATTAACTCTTCCTTGAATAATAATTCTGTCTTGTCTCTTAATGAGCAAACACATTTTGATTGTATAAAATTTTTTAATGCTTTGGATTTTAATCACTGATAGTTCACCTACCTTGGTCTCAACTTATTTTATGATATTTCATAGTTAATGGTTTTTTCAGGTTGCTCAACTCTCTCCTACATGTATCCCCCCCTTAATCCAAATTCTCCAATAATTGTAATAGATCTTGTTAAATGCCTATGCTCATGGTCAGATTTTCATGTTTATCCCTTGACATTGACATTGACTCTATGTCAACGTCTTGTCCATGTCTTCAATTGACATAATTTTCAGTGTTTTCTAACCAAATTAGTTTAGATTTAAAACACGTGCTGGCTGCTTGCCCCATCAATTTTATTGATATTTGCTTTAAATAATGCCTTCATAAGGGAACGGGGAACCCCTTTTTTAAAAACCCGCTAGTTAATGGTGTTGTCAGATTTTAATTGTTTGACAATACCCTTCATATACCTTTTTGGTTATATGAAATGTTCTTTTATAAAACCTAGTATACGCTCTCAGGGCACGGGGCCCTTCAATTATTGAGAACCCGTTTACTCAATTTTCATTCTGGAACTCTCGACTATGGGCATTGACAGAAAATAATTTTTTCAACTCCAAGTAAGTAGCATAAAATAGGTAATCTTTTCATTTCAATATCATTGTTTTGTATTGTAGACTTTTCAATTAGGCTGAAGATGGTCTTTTATAAGACCGAAACATGTCCCTCATGAATTAGTTAATAATATCATTAAAATTTGTGGAGATGACTTCGAGCATTCCTTCCTTCCTGTGAAATATTTCACTCCACTTTGAGCAATATGGACTTCTACCAAAGATTAAAAAAATATATTCTTTCTCAGTTCTGTTTCATACCGAAACGTAAAATGTGAATATTGATAAATCTGACTCTGCTGAACAATAGTTATTTTTTCTGTGACGGGAAAAAAGTTTGGCATTTTATCTCTGTTGGCAGGTTATAAAATGTCACTTTTCATAAATTACTTTTTTCCCGTGGGAAAAAAGTGAGTACTTCTTTCCCGGATATATATCACATATATATATATACTCTGTTAATGGCTTTTGTTGTGCTATAGTTTCGAAAAATGAGTCAATAATACCGTCTCCGAGAAAGAACTGCAAGTCCTTTTATCTTCCATTCGACTTCGCGGTTTCCTATATTACTAAACAACTACTGAATTCGCAATTTTTCAAAATCAAATCACAGAATTGAACTGACAGAAAGTGACATCAGATATTTGATTACTTCAAAAGAATGATAAAGATGTCTATAAAACGCAGGTGTCCCTACTGTTAAAAACTTGAAATTTCACGTCGATAATTTTCAGATTTCGAAATAATGTAATATCTTCTCAATATTGATTCATCCTTCCTTCTGTCACAGAAAAAAATAGTGTATTATACACGGGAAAAATATTAGATTTTAGCTCACGGTTTTTTGTCTCCCTCCGCTACGCGTCGGGAGACAACACAACCTGGAGCTAAAATCTACTACTTTTTTCCCTTGTATAATAAATAACTATTATTATACAAGGGAAAAAGTTGTAGATTTTAGCTCCAGGTTGTGTTGTCTCCCGACGCGTAGCGGAGGGAGACAAAAAACCGTGAGCTAAAATCTAATATTTTTCCTGTGTATAATGCACCATTTTTTTCTGTGGCAGAAGAAAGGACGAATCATTATTGAGAAGATATTACATTATTTTGATATCTGAATATTATCGACGTGAAATTTCATGTTTTTAACAGTAGCACCTGCGTTGTAGGCATCTTTATCATTCTTTTGAAGTAATCAAATATCTGATGTCACTTCACTTCTGTCAGTGTAATCCTGTTTGATTTCGAGAAATTGCGAATTTGGTGGTTGTTTAGTAATATTCGTAACCGCGAAGTCGAATGGAAGATAAAAGGACTTGCAGTTCTTTCTCGGAGACTTTATTATTGACTCATTTTTCGGAACAATAGCACAACAAAAGCCATCAACAGTGTATATATATGTGATATATATCCGGGAAAAAAGTAATTTATGAAAAGTGACATTTTATAACCTGCCAAGAGAGATGAAATGCCAAACTTTTTTCCCGTCACAGAAAAAACTCACTAATTCATTGTTTCAAATCACTTGAGAATATTGAAACTCGAAAAAATGATACTTGAAAATCACATTTTCTATATAATGAACAATCTAACCTGTCAAGTATTCCTAATCGATTGAGAAAGGTAAATTCTGAACGGAGAATGTAAACATAGATCGTTTGGTGGTTTGGGAAATCTTGCAGTGCGCGAGATGGCGCGTGAATTTTGAAATATGATGTGGGCATTCATGAAAAGTGGTAAAAGTACGAATTTTTAGAAAGTATCATGAGAATGAAAATTCATCAAATATTGACATTATGCGACTGCTTGGAAATTGGGTAGGTAGAATATTATGAATGTGTATCAGTGATATTCTCAATACGCGCGCCAACACTGCACTACTCAAAATTTTGTGATCGCGTTATATTTTCTGATCCTCAAAATCAAGAAAATTCTTTCCTCCTTGAAAAATGTTTATTCTGCAACTAGGTCGATGTCTATATCAGATGGCACTCCAATAAATGTGGTGGATTTCTTGAAAGCCATATGCGACTTGAAGATACGAGGAACTTCTACAATCTTTAGATCATCAATAGGAATCATCAAGTATCTCAAAGAAGCCAGGTAAGACCCATGAGCATTCAAAGGAGATGATAGACATTAATGGTAGGAGAATAAATACACATCGTTGAATATTGTGGTATCGGTTGGTATAAAGTAGAGTCACTGGATGGTATATAGTTCTTACACAGAAATGACAACTGTTAGTGTTTTTGAATGTTTAGATTGATCAAGTTACACACCTTGTGACAAGAGCACCATAGTCGTTCCGCGTTTTTTCATTCAAAATTGTTAGAATTTGGCAATAAATACTACGCCAGAATTGAAATATAGTTTCATAAACTATTGAGAAAATAGAATATTACGTAACAAGAGTTGTAAGTAACCCATTATGCAAGAAATGAGAAAGTTTATGCACGAAGCACCGCAGCGGCGAGTAGTGCCTAAATTTCATGAGTGCGTAATGGGCTTACAACTCGTGTAACGTACTATACTTTTTCTACGCCCATTCATCTTCTTCCATTGAAGAAGAAACATCGCAATCATTCAAACTTTGATATAATAGTTGTTAATAACAATTGAACAATTATTGTAAATCGATTGTGCCTTATTACTTACTGGTGATGACCGGTTATTTATAATAATTTCATTACTGCTCGGTACATCAGAAGACGAAGATTGATTATTAGCGGTAACAAATTATGTGTGGCTGCCTGAGCTTTTTCTAAAATCTCCGATGGAGTGCTCATAATTTCATCACTTTCACTACTATCAGACATATTCGTAGTTGAAGTTGAGAAAATGTTTAGATACAATTATATTTTGTTCAAGAAATTGACAATATCCTTGACATGACATTTATCTTCATACCATGCTACAAGAAATTGCATCTACATTTTATAGGGGCATCACCCATGGGTTGCGTGCAAGAAATATCAGATGACCGACCCTGGAGGTGAAACATTGGAACACAACCTCACTTTTCTTATTTGTTCACAAGTGAATGAGATAGTTTTTCACGATTATTTCGGCATACGAATCGTATTTTTCGGCTATTCATTGAATCGCGCATGCCATCACATTGTGCTGTTGTACAATGCACAAAAAATGCAACTGGAGACGAAGGAATCCGGTTGGTACATTATGATTTAAAAGTAAGTAGCTACTATTCATAGTCATTTACATATAGTTTTTATTTTTGGTAATTTCTCTGATTTGTCATCGGATTCCTTCTGCAATAGGAACTGATAGAAATACTCTTGAAGTTTCCAAAATAATGCAAGAAGATTGGATTCATGCAATCAAACGGAAGGACTGGTCTGACATGCTGACGAAATATGATCATGTGTGTTGTAGACATTTTCAATCTCTCAGCAGTATGAGCTTCTATTGCAGAAGTGGCAGAAGGAATTTCAATAGGAAATGACGAAATTTTAAAATGAAATTCAAAAGAGATTACTATCTACCTGAAATATCATATCCCTTCGTCTCTCGTTGCATTTTTTGTGCATTGTACAACAGCACAATACGAAGGCATGCTTGAATTGATGAATAGCGCGAAAAACACAATTCGTATAACAACATATTGTGAAAAACAATTTCAATCCTTCGATTCCTCTGTGAACAAATATAGATAGTGAGGTTGTGTTTCAATGTTTCACAGAAGAGTGATGTTGTGATTCAATATTTGGTTGGTCATCGTGCACGCGACCTATTAGGAAAATTGAATAGACAAAGAGCAGATCTTCCGTTTGATGCTTTTTTGAGAGTGAGGACACACTTATCACCACTGACATTATCAAATTTCTGAATATAACGTCCCTTCTAAAAATTTTATAGGCATACCTGGACGCATCCCACTTACATAAACAACTTTTTAGACCGCTATGCAGGGTGTTTCTTAAGTAAGTGTAGAAAATTCAGGAGCATGTTGCTGACGTCAAAATGAGAAGAAGAGTTTGTAAAAACATATGTCCGAAAGTTATCCGTTTCTGAGATACAGAGTGTCAAAGTTGAATTCTTATTTTTGTTTTTTGTTAATGAATTCCAAAATGATTGTGATATTGGAATAAAATTTGATATCTAGCGGCATATTTCAATGAGAATATCAAATTTTAGTCTGTCTCTTTCGTGGGGGTGGCGCCACCTACATGTCTTTTGAGTCTTTTGAAAGATTTCTAATTCATGCCTAATTATATCATGGTTTAGAGAACGGTTTTGGTTCAACGAACATCATGTTGAAGAAAATCGCAAGGTTTGGAACTATCAAGATGGGTCCTGAACCTTCATTCATCAGAATTCGATCATTTGATGATCATGTTTTGAACATGTAACAAATAATTGGAGTTGCACAGCTTGGACTGTATCCACATCAATCGTAAAAATCACCATGAATTATCTCTTATCTATTCAGTCTGATTCTTTGCTTTTTTTTTTCTCTCGAGAAAATTCAATTCACCATGATTGTCTTTCACAGTGATAAATCGCTGCCACCATCAGTGGGTGTTTCGTCGATTCGTCAACCAGCAGAGAGTGAGTACCAAATATATTGATAAAAAGTTGTGAGATCTTCCCCATCAAATATTATACTATTTTTTTGTCAAAACTGTTTCAACAAAATGTCGATGAATTCTCAAGCTATAGGTTCATATATTTCAAACGAATTTTCAAATATTCGCAGCTTCCTTTAAATTCTGAATTGACTCGGCCGTTACTTGATGGAAATCCATGGCAAATGTAAAAACAAACGATAAGATTTCCACAAAATTCTCGAACACACGACATGTTTCGCTAGCACAGTAGCTTCGTCAGGTGATATTCTTGTTCATTGTACCAGTATATCACCTGACGGCAACATTCCTGTGAACATTGATGCGCCAGTACCAATAGGAGACTCTGGCCGTCATCAGGGCCAGTACATGTCTGCCGATCCATAAAAAAAAAGACGACCGTCACGGGATTCGAACCCTGGTCCTCCGCTATCACTTAGTTACAAATCGAACTCATATTCCATCTCAGCTATTACCCCTTTATTGAAATGATATGTGTGTACGGAATTCATTCGCGGTTAACTTCCGAATAGGAATATTCAATTGATAATTATCATCATCATAACAGAAATATTATACAAAGAGAACATCTGATTCTCCGATTGACTTTCGAATTTCTGTCATACACCTATTTTATGAGTCAGACGACTTGCCTATAATTATTTTTGCCGAGTTTGATGACTCCTGATAATATTCAAATACATAACGACAGAAAAACGCAGTGGTTGAGTGCTTGACTAGCAATTAGAATGCCGAATGATTGCGAGGTTCGATTCCTGGCAAATCAGAGAATTTTTAATAATTTCATTTAGAGATGTTTCTGCACGATTCGCAATTGCGTTCCAATTAACAGTGCAGCTTCTAAGGTGGCGTATGGAGTTAGTAACAAAGCCCACACAGAACACACACGAGCTGAAGGACATCTCATGAGGTGGATGGTCAGTTGGTATGTACATATATACATACCAACGGAGTACATATACCTACTTACGTCATTCCAATGTAATGAATAAACATTGGTAGTAGATAGATGATATTCATGATTTATTAGTAGTACTAGTTGGTTGGTATATGTATGTACATACCAATAGGCCATCGACCTTACGGGGAGGTCCTTCAGCTCATTAATGTTCTGTGTAGGCTTTGTTACTAACTCCATACGCAACCTTAGGAGCCGCACTGTATCGGGATGAAACAGCGAATCGTGCGAAATCATCTCCGGCCAAGGCTACGAAAATTATAATTTATAACTCGTTTCATATATAAAAATGCTATACTTCCAGGGATTCGAACCCAACAACCTTTGGATGGTATGATTACTAGTCGAGCGCGTTCCCTACTGCGCTATTCCGATGTCCTGAAAATCAGATTTTCCAATTGAAACTGAGATATAATCATACTCTATTTGGCACGGTGCCGACTAGATTATAATTAAACGATTTCAATATGTTATATCATAGGTAGATGATTGTATGTAGGTAAGAACATAATACGAATTGACACTATTTGCCCAGTGCCAGCTGAATTATAGGCAAACGATTACAATACAATGGGCCGGTCTATCATGTACTGTCGTACTGAGTCAGAAGACGGCCAGAGATTTAATGTTTGCTGGGTGCTATTCACTATCCTGAGCAGAATGATTGAAAAATCGCTCCTTACTGTGCGGTTATTTGCAGTCACTTCGCGATTTGATAACTAGATAATAATAATGCAATCCGATACCAATTGACTGGTAGATCTCCGAATCGTACATGTGCCATATCTCAAACTGAGTCATATCCATGGCAAAGCGATCAATCTGCTGCCATTATTCCGGACATATTATTTATCCGAACGTGCTACGATTCAAACCGATTCAAGTTAGTGGCAGAGCATCAATATTTCCGCGAATGTTTCGCCGCTGTTGAAAGTTTTGTTCGGAAGTATGTCCGAAAATGGCAGCAAATAAATCACTGTGTCGTGTATTCAATTCAGATTAGGGTAGTTTTATGAAATCTACCATTCAATTGGCATTATCCTTATATATTTATCAGATCGCGAAATTAAGTGCAAATCACCGCACGGGAAAGTGCTAGTTTTCAATCATTTTGCTCAGGATAGGGATTGACACAGTTGCCGTTCGATAGGATACAATATTTTCACATGCCTTTGGGATATACAGGGCGCCCGTAATTCGAGCTTATACGCATGGGGATCTCGGTAATCTTGAGAGATACGATATTGCTTGAAAATTCTCCACCAATAATACGAGGTGGGCCAATAAACTTTATTCTCTAAAAATCAGCATTCACGAATCATCATGTATAATCAATAGAATTTATGAATCCATTCGATGTAAGAAGAACATATCGGATGATAATTTTCATTTTGTGATTTTAATCAAGTTGTGGTATCAGTATTTAAAAATTGACAATATCAATAACACAATAATTCAGACGTGAATCACCCTGTGATGAAGATCAGTCTTGGTTGATTCAATACATGGTTGTTCTACTCAAAGGTTAAACTGAAAAACTGCCATGATAGCAAACAACTCAACAATTCATTTGTCCTTTCTCAGAGATATAGGTAGATGAAAATAAGGGGGCATTTCTCAACTTCAACACCCTGTATTTCAAAATATGGTCATAGGATCGGATTGGGAATGTTTTATCATTAGGTCGAGTACTTCAATATATCAGATGTTCAGAAAATTCGCCAGAACGCCATTTTTATAAAGAAAAAGTGCGGGGTCCACCTAATCAAAATTTTTTTGAAGATTGCCATGGAAACAAATTTGTCGAATTTGTTGATTTCGAATGTTGACAGTTCAGGACAGTTTCAACGTTAGAAGTTCACTCTCTCACATTGCAAAATGTCATTTTCCAATGAAAAACACAGAATGTTGGGAATTTATTATGCTTGTCATCGAAATGTTTAAGTAACAAGTGAACCATATTTACAACGTTTTCCTGAAAGACATCAACCAAATATTGGATATTTCCTAGGTCTCCATAGGAATCTGGGCCAATATGGTTCATTCCCTCCCAAGTAGCACACATATATTGGGACAATATCAGTGCAATATTCCGAAAATATCGGCAAAATATTGTGGAAGTAATATGGGCGAAAAAAAATGTGAACATTCGGCGATATTGGTACAATCAGTTTCCAAATGTGGGTAGAATATTGAAAATCAGCATGTTGCAATGTCGTCTCGAAAAAAATTGTGAAATATTCTCATATCAATATTGATTAAATATTCGTAGATATTGGTCACAAAATGTGATATCAATATTGGCAAGAAATTATTGGTGGACATTTGGCAATATTGGAGCAATATTATATGGGATTATCGGTGAATCATTAAAAATCATCATGAAGCTATGTTGTCTCTAGAATATTGGTAGAATATTTCCATACCAATATTGCTGGAATATTCGTGTAGTTATATTGGTCACAAAATGTGATATCAATATTGCTGATAAATGAACTGAACATTTGACAATACTGGTGCAATATTGGTTGGAAATATTGGTACATTATTAAAAATTATTATGTGGCTATGTTGTCTTCAATATATTGGTAGAATATTTTCATTCCAATATTTGCCAGATATTCGCATTAGGAATAATCATAAAGGTCAGCACAGCCGAAGTGCAATGGGAGGGGCTTGCCCTGGGGAAGCCGCCTTATTGGTCACGGTTAACCCCTACTCCAGGTTATAATGCTTCCCAATCGTCTAGAGCCAATATCTATATTCTCTCGTCTGATCGGCAAAGGGAGTACGTTACCAATAATTTATAGCGCCATCTATCGACATCGGTTTGAGAGTGCGTGATATGGAATTAATATCGAAATTTCGATATCGATATGTCTTTTCAAAACAATATGTGAACAATATTGCTCACATGATATAATGAATCAGATATCAGCCAATATAATATGATATTATTTCCTGAATATGGCTGGAAAACTATTTATGCGATATGCAATTGAACTTGAAAATAAAATATTGTTTTTCTCTCCTATGACCGATATAAGATAAATATTGCATTGCCGTTATTGATATTCATCCTTGAAACAATATGCATTCCATGTCTTTCGCATAAATGGTCAAAACGATATTTGGGTAAATATGATGTTTTGAATATTATCGAAACAATATTCAAAAATGAGCCGTAGAAATCGAATATACAATATTGCATTACCGCTTCAGAATCGACATGGGAAGAATGTTCAAATTGCGATATAGGTTATAATTATTATTGTTGAAAACAATATGTAAACGATATTTTCCGCATGATATAATTGAAATGATATCAATCAATATAGGTAAATTCGATATTCCAAATATTGTTGAAATAATATTCATCCAATGTGCCGTCGACCTCGATTACACAATATTGCATAACCGCTCCAGAATCGACATGGGGAGAATGTTTGGATTGCGATATTGGTTATAGTTGTTGAAAACAATATGTATACGATATCTTCCACGTGATATAGTTAAAATGATATCAATCAATATAGGTGAATTCAATGTTCCGAATATTGTTGAAACAATATTCTGCCAATGTGCCGTCGAAATCGAACATACAATATTTCATGACCGCTTCAGAATTGACATGTGGAAAATGTCCGAATTGCTATATTGGTTATAATTGTTGGAAACAATATGTATACGATATCTTCCGCATGATATAGATATAATGCTATCAATCATGATAGGTGGATATCATGTTTCAAATATTGTTGAAACAATATTCAACCAATATGCCGTCGAACTTAAGTATACAATATTGCACAACTGCTTCAGAATCGACATGAGGAAAATATTCGAATCGCGATTTTGGTTATAAATGTAAGAAACAAAATGTATACGATATCTTCCGCATGATATAGATAAAATGATATCAATCAAGATAGGTGAATATGATGGTTCAAATGTTGATAAAACAATATTCAAACAATATGCCGTCGAAGTTGAATATACAATATTTCATAACCACTTCAGAATCGACATGGGGAGAATGTTCAGATTGCGATATTGGTTAAAATTGTTGGAAATAATATACATATATACGATGTAGCTGTATCGACATTTGTAAAACAATATTATATAAATTTCACAAACAATATTGGTCCAATATTGTAGCTGAAAATCCATATTCAGCTCAAGTTGAACCAATATTCCACCAATATTATCATTCCAATATTGTATGTCCAATATACTGTCATATTGGACCTATATTATTTCTCACATGTACGATATATCTATATCGGCCCAATATGAAATCAGGTTTCTGCCAATATGATGTGCTACCTTCGGCGGCCCAGACATAAATATGGCGAGAGAGCTGACGAATATGAAGAAAACGTATCACAAGCAGTAAAATATGATTTTCAGATTGAATTTCAGTCAAGATATTTCTCATTAGGTCCAAAAAAATCGCCACATAGAAACGAGATAAATTGGAGCACAGTTGAATTTACGACACCAGTTGGTATGGAGGACGCTCACAAAAAATCGGTAGGTATCATCAACAAAATCCTTCCTACCCAAACTCTTCATCCTGGAGACAGGGAACGCTGATTAGAATTTATAGCAGGTTTTTGTTGGATCGGATACGTGGAAATCCAGATTTCCATCACAATGTTATATGGAGTGACGAATCGAAATTCACGAATTCAGGGATGTTCAATAGACATTGATGGACATGTGTGGTCTATCGAAAATCCCCATGTTAACCAAGAAAGGCGACCTCAGATACGCTTTGGACTGAATATTTGGGTTGGTTCACTAGGTGGAACAGTTATTGGTCCATACATTTATAAAGAAAATTTGACTACAGAAAGATATGTTGATTTTATAAGGATTTTTTTTGACAGATTGTATGGATAACAGTACTAATCTCAACCGCCTGCGTGATTTATGGTTTCAGAAAAACGGTGCGCCTCCGTATAATGCCAGAAGGGTTACAGTATATTGCTCAGAAATGTTTCCTAATAGGATTATCGTGAATAGTGGTGATGTACGTTGGCCAGCGCGTTGACCAGACTTATCACCCTTGGACTACTTTTTAAGGAGCACAATGAAAAATACAGTTTATTGAACTGTGCCAGTCGATATTACTGACCTTCGGCAAAATATTATTGACTCCTTGAGACAGATGAGAAGACGAAGTATCGAAAGAGCAATTGCAAATATGAAGGTGGACAGTTTGAACAGCTTCTTTGATTATTTATATTTTGCCCTCGATTTGTTCGTTCTGATCGGTTCACATTTAACTGTTAATTGAAAAAATAAATTTTCAACATATTTTCTCTCTGTTCTTCATTGGAAAATGGCCTTTTGCAATCTAGAAGAGTGAATTTCTAGAGTTAAAACTGCACTGAACTGTCAAAATTTGGAATCAACAAATTCGACAAATTAGTTTCCATGGCAATTTCCGAAAAATGTTAATTAGGATATTTCGACCATGATATGAAACCAAAACTATACACAACAAGTACATCGTCAGAATCAGAAAAAAAACTGTATTCAGAAATATAAAAACTCAATATGGCGCCCATAAGAAAAAAAAAGTTAACCGTCATTTGTTTCTTCAGTGTTAAAAAAAAAGTGATATAATTTTCGAATGATTTGCAAAAAACTGCTACGAGAATAATGGCCAACTTGATCGGTTTTCCTATAGGTAACAAAATAAAAACGAAAATCGCATAATTCAGTTTTTTGGCGATATCTTGAAAACTGAGAAAGATAGGTCAGTTGTTTTTTCAGATTATTGTTCAGAACCAGAATGCGCAACTTTGCCCTAATTTGAGCAACATCGTATCATCAACATTTTCTCCGAATAAATATTTAAATATGTTCTACAATAAATAAAAAGAATTTTTTCGTCTGCATGATGTCATAGCCATTTCCACATCACCTCAATTTGTACTTTGACTGATGATGACCATTTGAATGGTAGAAACATGTCTCGGAAGTGAAAAGCACATTTTCCTGCACACATATCGACATGAAACTTGTGGAGACGAGTTTGAGTTTTTTCTCTTTGATCGTATTATTTCATCCATTTCCAGATGTCAGAGGAAAAATGACAGCTCTGTCACCGAGAACAATAGACTACGAAGTAGCTGTTCACACTATTAAGATACAGAGAAGTGGCCAGGCAATCAACATCGATGAAATGCGGCAAATTCAAGGTAGGAGCTCCGAAAATATCTCCAATCATTTCACTGGCTCATCAACAAGATTCTATTCCACCAAATTGACTTATAAATAATGTGGTCGAAGATTCTTATTAATGGAAATTATTGTGCAACTGAATAAGTATACACGGAAAAAAAAAAGATTTGTTGCATCAACAAAATATTCATGCTTAAATTATTTTTCTTGGACTGAACAATTTTTAATTGAATCAACCAGATACATGATTATTTCATGAAAGCAGCTCGTTCAAAACGAGAATGTAGTCTCAATAAATCAACAGTATGATATCAATTCCATCAACAAAATATATGGTTTTCCCAAAATCTATTTATGTAGATCCAAAATAGTGTCGATGTTGATTCAACTATAGACATTCTGTTGATTTGATCAAATAATGATCATTTTGATGAGAATATATCTTAGAAACAACATACAGGTATTCTTATTCCGATATATCAATGAACCCGTTTCGAACGGATCATTCGCTAAAATTTTAATAGAGCAACGATATATAATTATGTAATATGAAATATTTTGTTCATTCTACATGAAGTTAAATTTTCGCCTCTAGATGGCTATCATTTCACCCCGTCTATGCCTGCCTCGAATTCATTTAATACGTGAAGCCTGATTCTTCGTGTTTGAAATGTCAGCTGGATGAATCCAACTTAGGGTGATTAGCAATCCGAAATAGTTTTGTATCAGCTGAAGAGAAGTAGAGACTGGATATCTATGCTAGGAGTCTACTAGTTTCCTAGTTCAGTTCATTCGATTGATGTAAAATTTCAGAAAAATCCCGGATAAATACTGAATCTGGTTCAACAAAACAATTCGTCGAATGAAAATACAGTTTCTCCTGAATCAACAAAATATTTCATTGAATCAACAAAATATTTCATTGAATTAACCAAATGTCTCAATAAATCAACCAAATAATTCAATCAATATCTTCTTAATTTGAATCAAACAAAATGATTGTTTGAGCCAATTCAATATCTCCTCATAAACAATTCATGAATGTGCTTGATTGAATGAGATCCAGCGAGTTCATGCAAGACATATTTACTTAATTCAATTTTCAAATTCGCTCTGAAACAAGATATAGATTTACTCATTTCAAGATTATATTTGGTCTCGCATATATTATGATACTTTTATTTGCTTCATCCAATTGTATTTAGCTTGATTCAACAATTCCTTTTTTTTTTTCGTGTAAGCTTGTTCTGACCACCGTCATGAACTATATACAATCTGAACAGTTATATGATATCATTGAAATCCCAATTCAATATCAACAAAATTGATCTCCTTCAAGCTTCTGCGCAAGATACAGAAGAATCCGAACTGTCATACATGTCGTCGATTCATGTCACTTAGGACATGTTCAAAATTTTCAAAATAGGAAGGATATTATGTCAATAGGCAACGAAATGTTTCTATATCCCGAGTAATGGAGAAGCCTCTTTTTCGGTTGAAATTCAAATTTCAATATATATTTGTAAATGAAGGCTCATGCATGGTAGATTCTAAGCTGTTCAGTGACTTGACATTTTGGAAATGGCAGCCATTTGGTTGTCTTTTGTTCTCACTCAATTCATAAAGTCACTCTAACTACTTGGATATTGTATATTCAATGTGACAAATAATATGACGAAACAAATTTCAGCAGTCCAAGAGCCAAGTATTAAAACATTGTAAAAAGCTCTGGTGATGAAAATGTATGGAATTTCTAGAATACTCGTCATTTTCGAATACGCATGTAGCGGTAATACATAATAATATATGAATTGCCTCCACAGCGGGAAACATTTCAAGGACACTTGCTGATATAAGGAGGTACGGCCAGCCGACCAGGAAAGAAATGAGATAGCTTTTCACTGGTCATTGTGGGGCTTTTGCGTTTGATGTATCGTGCGTTGAAGTGGTTGAAAATAGTTTATTCACGCTCCAGATTTACCATAAAAGAAATTTAGAAAAGTCATGGCGAGCGTAAGAGAGGTAGTAAGATCTAGTTAGCCATTTATTATCATTTTATTAAAAACAAAAAATTATGTTGACGATCTAGAGCGACATCTACCTTGATGGACCCAGGTTCTGAGGGCACGAGCCGTCACACAACCACATTCATCACCATATAACTGATGTGAAATTCTAGAATTCACGAAAGTAGGTCATGTCAATTTACGCATTGTGAAATGAGCAACTGAAAACTATCACAACCACCCTCATTGATTGTTCACTCAGTTCGGTGCCATAAAGAGGGTTGCTATCCTCAGTGGTTGCAAAATGAATCAAGGTGAATATTAATTCACGCCCAGCATTCCCAGCATTGTGACAGTAACACTACCTAATTTCAGTTGAATAGTTGACATTTCTTTATTATCAGTTATAATCAATTGACCATATTTTCAAATGTGAATAAAATTGGCACCCCTATCAAAGTTGATATATTTCATTCCGATCCAAATTGCTGAATTCATTGATGATATGAGCAAAGAGAACTTCTAGCTGCTGTCAACGAATAAAACATAATGTATGTCCCTTCTCAAATGAAATATGGCCAATCGAACCAATCAAATGTATTGATGATATAAAATATTCCGTGATTGGAGAATAATTGTCAATTTGATTTATAGTGAAGGTATCAAGCTTCATGTAATGCGACAAAGAAGGCTGATGTTACCAAAATGTCAACTATTGCTTGGAAAATAATCTCATAACCATAATCGTTGTCTATCTTTCAAGAGGCTGTCTCGATGACTACTCTGAAGCAGCCAGTCAACGAACAGAACAGGAGAATTTCCATGGACCTTTTCAGTCAACGATCAGTCTCCAACGAAGTACTCAAGGGACTCAGGTATATAACATCCATCAACAAGATCAAAGATCCCAAGGCAAATTACACTTGGGGCCAGCTAGATCCAACAACGTTCGCAAGGAATCTGATAAACGTCTGCAACCAAGTTAGAGAAGTATTCAGAGTGGAGTCGAGGTTATTGGAACTGAACTCACCAGTATATGTTATGGGTTAGTCATTTTTCTCCTACACCTACTCAAGATGACAGTCATCAACTTTGGGTAGTATTGCCTACTTTTCTATGCTTATACTCATATTCCTGTCCATACACATTAGACCGGGAGCCCACGACGTGTTTTTTGTGTCTCATTTGTCGCCGAATAAAAATCGTGGACCAAAGGGTGGGGGTCGCGTGGGTGAAGTTGTATTGAAGACTCTGGGTCTCGAATCATTACTAACCGTTCGGTGTATGTCGCAAGTTATTGGAAAAAAGTTTGGGCAGACGGCATTGCCAAACGAAGTTAGGCTGTATATTGTTGTAGACAATTTATAAATGAAAAATGTCATTCTTCAATGTTCAGCACTCTGTTAATTCAACTAATCATTCAAAAACAAAACTCATAATAATATGATCGCCGAACATTTTGGTTGGATCGGGGGCCACTACTACTGGTACTGGTGGGGGACGTTTGCACGTCAGCAACTAGTCTCTAATGGGACCTTTTTGCAAACCCCTAGTGTTTTCAATGACTGATGTGGTTCGCTCAAGAGAGCTGGCTAACATCCTTTTCAGGCACCGCCCATCAGCTCTCTTTGAGAGTTTTTCGGCTGGGTTTTGTAGGCTAGTAATGTACTCACTACCATATGCGCAGTGGCAGGCCTGCTAGCTATCCACCGTCCTACTTCTTCTCTGATGCTCACAGCCACATCATCATCTCTTTCTGCGTGTTCTGTTTAGGCTTTGTTACTAACACCATGTGCCACTTCAGAAGCAGCACTCTCAATTGAAACGCAACAGCCAATCGTGCAGGACTAACCCCAGCCGATGCTCCGAAACTTCACAATATGAAATTCGTGAATAAAATATTGAAAAAAGTTCCATGCTCGTGCTGGGAATCGAACCCACGACCTTGCGGTCGTGAGACGGGCGCTCTTTTGCTGCGCCAATCCCGGCTTTGGATCGGGGGCCAACCACCCTCGCGTACTTTTGTTATTGGTGTCGCGTCAATTGGACGTGGAAAATTGGACGCACGACTATTGGTCGCAGTCAATTGGACGCGGCGACACTTAGACGCGGCGTCAATTAGACGCGGCGACAATTCGACGCGGCGACAATTCGACGCGGCGACAATTGGACGCATGCGTGAATAAAAATAATTTTATAATTCCAATGAAATTCATTGTATAAAATATGAAATACTGATGGGCTTATATTCATAATTATAACAAATACCTATGGCCTCGTTTGACAATTATTTTCCTATCTCATATCGTAATATGAATTTACGATACGAATATAGTACAATATTTTAGGTTAGTCAGGTTAGGTTAGGTATTTGTTATATTATAGATATGAGCCCTGCATATTCCATGCAATAAATTTCATTGGAATTATAAAATTATTTTTATTTTCGCATGCGCTCAATTGTCGCCGCGTCCAATTCTCGTCGCGTCCAATTGTCGCCGCGTCCAATTGTCGCCGCGTCCAATTGTCGCCGCGTCCAATTATCCGCGTCCAATTTTCGTGCGTCCAATTGACCACGTCCAATTGTCAGTAATCCTTTGTTATTAGGGTGTATGTTTGTATGTATGTACGCGTTTATTATACATGAATATTCATTTTTGTCGCTTATGACGTACTCTTAGATATTTTTTGACATGACAAGAATGAATCCTCGAAGATTAATATGTACATCAGCTGAATAATGTGTTTCTACATCCCCTTGTTTATCGCCATAGCTAATTTTTCTTCTGCTACAGCAAAACTTGGTGGCTACATAGGAGACAGGCAATATCTTCACTACTGAAGAAGAGAGTACTTCACTGCCTATACAGCATCAGAGCTACTTTACAAAAAATTACTTACATTTGGAGCAGACTAACATAGCTGTCGTAGAAAAGTAGTCAGATTCTCCCTGAAAAGCTGATTTCATCAATGTATCTCACTTGGGGTCTACAACAAATACAGGGTGGTTCAAGATTCAGCTTGAACCACCCTGTATTTGTTTCAAATAAATGTCAGTAGATAGTAAATCAAAAGTTGAGATAGGGACATAAAAGCCGTTTTGACCAATAATGAATAGTTTCGACTCAAAAAAATCCTAAAGTTGTAAAATCTCGATTTTGAACACCCTATATCTCTGTAATCATTCCTGCTAGACCCCAAGTGTGATACATTGATGAAATCAGCTTTTCAGGGAGAATCTAAAAATGCAATAAAATACAGGGTGTTCCATTTGAAATAACAAAGTTGTTTCTTCTTTTCGTTAGAAGCGGCAATGCCGCGGGGCTGAAAATATTTTAGAACCATGTCCCCCTCGAAAATAAAATCGACCTGTCTTTTTGTTTTTCCATATTATCGACTTGGAGGGAGATATTGAGGGTGGGAAGTTTTCAAATTGACACCCTGTACATATAACTCCGTTATTAGGCGGCGGACTTTTTCGAACGTATGATCAGCCTGAAATCTCATTTTGGTACAGATATGGACTTCAATTATCAATACTAGCTATTTGCTGTTGTTATTCAAAATGCTTACTGATTCACTGATACCTTGAAAAGCCTATATTTTAGAACAATAAAGTACTCGCTAAGAGCAGATGTGTAAGTGTTTCAATAGACAGTATAAGTGAGTTCACTCATGATAACAAACATTTTGGTGAAAGTATGCTGGAACCATTTAGTCCATTTAGCAAAACTTGGAAAAGCAAATTCCAATCAAACTTCTAAATTTTCAATCAAAACCCTTCAATACTCCTTGTGCCTGAGGATATTACATTCAGATATTGATGATTTTAATCATCAGAAAACACAGAATGCAAAATTTGACAAAATACGATATTCTCTCTTCATCAGCCTTCAAAAAACTAGATTTTATAGAAATGTCAGTAAGGGCATATGTATTTATAATAACACTAATGTTCTTATCACCTACTTCTTCTTTAGTTTGTATATACATACACACCCACATACACACTACACTTGAACTAAGGAAGTGATGCTCAATAATTATTGCACCATTGGTAATGACTGGAATATGTACCAACGGACCTGCGATTTTGGCATCTCCGAACGTGTCTGGAATGCTTTTAGCTGAATGAATTTTGGCTGGGAAACATTATAGAGTTAATTATCATATTGAGAAAAAAACATTCATTCATTCTGATATCTATTTTAGAATATAAATTGATTTCATAAAATTACAGTTCCTTCATCAGCATGATATATCCATTTCGTGACAACAAGTATATATGGAGTGCCAGTAAAATTGGTTTTCGTCGACCCCTACCAAAAATCACAATAACGTTCTAATTTCCGAACAAAAAACCGACTATTACCGAAGGCAAGTACTTCTCGTCCACAGACACTAACTTTTCGTCCGCAAATTTTTTTTCGTCCGCTGCAGGGTTGATAGTTCCACTGAGTTTTCAGTAGATCTCCTGATTTACATATTGATCTACTGATCTACTGAAAAATATTTTGACACCTATTTATTATCATCATTACCTATATCATTTTCAATCTTTAATTAATCACATACACTTATAAATTGCATGATATATCGGCACGCTCTGTTTGAATTAATTTTACAAAATAAGTCATAAATGTACAGTCCAAATAAATCGTAAAGTCTCTTGGTCGAATTCAAATATTTTTGTCTTATTTATTCATTGCCTAGAAACAAACTATGTTTCCATTATTAGCATTTTATGACCTGATTCTCGCTGTAAAGGTATTATAGGGTGTTATAATTATTCGAACGTGAAATAGTAATTCTCCTAACAAGTGCGGAAAGTGATTCGTTCCCGCACGCGACTGCCGTTGACACGAACGACGCGAAGCGGAGTTCGGACAAGCAGTCGAGTGCGGGAAAGACACTTTCCGCATGAGTTAGGACCAATATTTTTTCTACAAGCGTAGGAAATTCATTGATTCGTTCAATTAATTATTCAAGCAAATAGGAACAACTAACAAGAGATATATATTCTCTATCTACTAAATATTAGTAATAGCTATTGTGAACTTACAGTTTGAAGCATTATGTTGGTTCATTGCAGAAGCCAGCAGGCCCATAAGTAGTTTGGTCTCTAGGTTTCAGACACTTCTATGAAATTAGCCAAAAATACCTATTCTTCATTCGGTATTTTCATTTCTTTATTGTTGCACCATTCAATAAAACGCGTGTATATCTTCTCATACCTTTCTCAAGACTTCGTTGGTGATAACGCATCTGTATCGAATCCCTATAGCTAGAAGTTTTTGATCATATTGTGGCATTTCGCATTTCCACTGAATCGAAAATGACAGTACCGCTGTGTCTGTCACTTCGACGATTTCAAACTTATTTGAGGTTTGATTGGCTTGACAACAATAATCGTTTCCCGTCAGGTCAATCCAAATCTATAGGGGGATTTTTATAATGATCAATTTTTATTTCTCAATGTTTCTTAATTTTTACAATAAATAGTGCAATTTGATGGATGATTCTGAACATACATACTTAATACTGCAACAAACAAACTTAAACTGTTATATTCCATCACCAACCACTTATATTATTAGCGATTTTATCATATCTTTGTTTTCCCGCACTGTTGCGGGAAAATGACACTCCCCAAACTAAATTGCGTGCGGGTATAGGGTGAATCACGCACGCTTGTATAAAAAATAACAATGACATGGTTCTTCTTTGGCAATTATGAATGCAATGAATATGAATTGATCTGAACTGCTTTACATTAGATTGGCCGGTGGTGAAAAGTTGTTTGTAATATATTTTCAATGTATGCAACTTCCAAGTAATGATTTTCATAGGTTTTCATGTTGTCTTAGACAATTATCAATGTGTGCTCACATGCAGCGGCGTAACTAATCAAATACGAATTGGCGACGAAAATTGAAGATTTCGAACGAAAACTTAATGCCTGAAATTAAATTTATGACAGTATATAAATATCACGAATATGTCTTAGCAAAACTTCCTATCCTATAAAAGGGTAAATTATGTGTAAATCAATGAAATTTGGATACACCAAACATTTTCATGAGTTAGACTTAGGCCTTTCAAGGGATTGTTTTACATGGGTTTAATAATTCCGGGAACTGTCAGCGACAGACCGACAGGTAGTATTTCTACACTAGGTATGCAAGTTAGAACATTCATTGTTTTGACGTATTAGTATGCATATTTCTCTGAAGAAAAACTGAGAACTAAGAATATTGAATACGTCTCTGAATTAACGAAATGTATTCACTGACATGATATGTCATTTACCATGACTATTTTCATCAAATGAGGGCTATGTTCACTCCGATTATACTCATGACACTCACGGTATCTCCAACAACATTGCACATCATGAGTAAAAAGCTATGAATATCAATAGAAGAGAGTGTAGAGACTCACCGAGGGCTATGTTTCTCGCTATATTTACTCCAATGATTCTCATGAAACTCATTTTATCTCTGAAAATATTGCACATCACAAGCATGAAGCTATAAATATCAATAAAAGAGGGTGTAGAGTTCACCATGACAGTTTTTATCGAATGAGTGCTATGTTCACTCTGATGATACTCATGATATCTCCAACAATATTGATTATATTGCACATCAATAGAAAAAAGCTATGAATGTCAATAGGAGAGAGTGGAGAGACTCACCATGACAGTTTTTTATCGAATGAGGGCTATGTTTACTCCAATGATACTAATGATACTCATAGTATCTCAAACGATATTGCACATCATGAGGAAATAGCTATGAAATCAATGTGAGAGAGTGTAGAGACTCACCATGACAATTTTATCGAATGAGGGCATCATTTTCTTTGATGACACTCATGATATATCCATCAATATTGCACATAATGAGGAAAAAGTTATGAATAGCAATGTAAGATAGTGTAGAGACTCACCATGACAGGTTATATCAAATGAGGGCTATGTTCACTTCTATGATACTCATGGTATCTCCATCAATATTGCACATCATGAGGAAAATGTTATGAATATCAATGTAAGAGAGTGTAGAGACTCACCATGACAGGTTTTATCAAATGAGGGCTATGTTTACTTCTATGATACTCATGGTATCTCCAGCAATATTGCACGTCATGAGGAAAAAGCTATGAATATCGATGTAAGAGAGTGTAGAGACTAACCATGACAGTTTTTATCGAATGTGGACTACGTTTACTATGATACTAATGATATCAATGAAAGAGAGTGGAGAGACTCACCATGACAATTTTTATCGAAAGAGGGCTAACATTTTCACCATCACCAGTTGGCGCTACTAAAACATGGGGTCAATGGCAAAGTAAAAAATTCCAAGATTATGTCGGATAGCCTTCAAAGTTATGGCCTGTTTTATGGATATTATTCGAAATCATCGTGAGACTTGAGCGTACTTACGTTTTTTACTCTCAATGCGTTAATTTACGACCAATTCTCACATTGACGGAGAGAAAGATGACACGAAAAGTTCTACCAACTCTGACCTCACGTTTCAGAAGATCGGTTTGGTGGACAAGGGCATGTTATTTTTTACACCACATGTTAATCATTGATGGAAGTGACGTCACTCTCTGATGCATCGAAGTGTTGGAGTTATATAGAAAAACGCAGTTATTTGACATGACGATCACAACTTATTTTTCCTCTATTTTGGATTCAGATTGTTCTCAACTAGAAGCTCAGAATTGGCAGAAACTAATGTGAAATGGAAAATGATGTATTAAAAGTGTTATTGGAATCCTTGTCTCCAGATCCAGAAGTTTTAGCAGGTCTTCTGATAGGTTCGAGGATGAAATATTCTTTATATTGGGGATTAGACGTAGGTTGAACATTCTCAACAACCTATATACAAAACATTGCATTAAATTCTGATGATATTGATGAAGTCATTGATAAGAATTATCTGTTGATACCCAAGTTTCCTGAATGTTAGCACTAATTTCTCGAAATTCATGATGAGAAAGAAAAAGGTAGATACCTACTACTCGAAATTCCTTCAATTTCTGTTGCTGTCAATAATGCAGCTATTGTTTCATTTTCATATTCGAGGCTGCTTTTGATTAATCCATTCATATTTTCTCTTAGGCAAATTACACGCTTTCAAATCACATATTTTGTTCCTAGTTTTTGTGGTTATGCTGTCGCTTTCATTTCTAAAACCACCAAAATTCGTCCACCTCTGTTATACATCGGTGGAACTGTTTGCAATTTTGATTGACACCACAGTAACAAATGAACGCGTGGTTACATCAAACTGAAATCCACCAAAGATTTCATGAACTCAGTTGGTGGATAGATGGAGCCACCGGTGAAAAAAAAAACGTTTCCATAATGTTAGCCAACCTATTCACTTGCTGTTCAATTCATCACTTGAGAAGGGGAAGATACCTAACAACTGGAAACACAGTTTCGTTAAACCTATTCATAAAAGTGGTTCACGGGAGGATGTTAGCAATTATCGAGGTATTTGTAATCAGTCAGAGTTACCGAAAATGTTGGATTGTTTGATCACTAGAAAACTATCATGGGGTTTTAAAAATATTATATCTAACCAACAACATGGTTTCTGTCGGGGTCGATCAACATCAACAAACCTGTTGCTTTATCAAAACTATATCATCAATTCATTAGAGGATAAGTTGCAAGTAGACTCTTTTTACACAGACTTCTCTAAAGCCTTTGATAGAGTTAACCATAGTCTGTTACTTGCAAAACTTGAAGCTTTGGGTATAGAGGCGAATATCCTGAGTTGGATCAGAAGCTATCTCACTAGTAGAGTCCAATATGTGAAATATGGGAGCTCAGTTTCACAACCAATCGAAGTACCATCAGGTGTACCACAGGGATCTCACATATGGGACCTCTGTTATTCAATCTTTTTGTTAATGACCTCTCTGAAGTAATCATCAACAGTTCCTTCTTGATGTTTGCCGATGACCAGAAGATGTTTAGAACGGTTCAATGCATTTCTGATGCTGAGAGTTTGCAGCTCGATCTAAATAATTTTTCCAGATGGTGCCATATCAATTCATTAAAACTGAATCTGAATAAATGTCAAAAGATAACATTTTCACGAAGCCATGATGCTATTGATCATATCTACAGAGTTAATGATACTAATCCATCAGTAACCAATACAATCAAACACTTAGGAGTAATATTCGACTCGAAAATGACCTTCAAACATCACATAATAGAAACACCATCTCGTGCTCGTAAAATGCTAGGCTTCTCTCCCTCCGTTCTGCTGAAGAATTATCTGTTAATGCTGTCAAAATTATTTATTGTGCACAGGTGAGGTCTTTTCTTGAATATAATTTTTTGATCTGGTCACCATTTTACAAAGTTGATTCTGATCTTCTAGAGGGTTGTCAAAATAAATTTTCAAGAAGTTGTGCATATCACATGGGATTCATTAGGGATAAATATACCTATCCACAAATATTAGATATTTTAAACATGAATACGTTGATACATAGAAGAATGGAAATTGATCTATTATTCCTCCATAAAATCATCAATGGTTACTTGTTGATTCTCCTGAAAGTGTTGCTCTGATTACGCTTCCCGCAAATACAAGAACAAACAGAAAGTGACATTTTCAAGATACCATTCTGTAGGAAAAATTATGGTCTAAATGAATCAATGAATAGAATTATGAAAACAGCAAACACAAACAATTACCAAATCGAACTTTTCAATTCATCTTCATTGTCTCTCAAAAGAGCGATAAAAAACTGTTCATCACTTCTTTCATAATCTTCATCTTTCTTTTCGTTTTAGCCTTCTACTTTTATTTTTGTGTTAGTCTTCTTCATAGATATGATAATATGTACGTGCTCTGTATTTTTTCTTTCTTTTTGTAAATTCTATAATTATTGGCTTGTCCGTTTATGAATAAATAAATAAATAAATTTTCAGACATTGTATTCCAAATTTTCCTTCACAGGCGATCTTCATGGTAACGTAGCTGATCTCCTCTATTTCGAGCGAACCCTCTGGCATATTGGGCCCGGATTAAGCCCTTCTAATCTCCTCTTCCTCGGTGACTATGTGGATAGAGGTGCATACAGTATAGAAGTCATTTCATACTTGTTCTCATATAAACTACAGTGTCCCAATAAGTTGAATCTCTTGAGGGGTAATCATGAAATCAGGGAAGTTCAGAAGATGTTCACGTTCCTCAAGTAAGTATCTAGAAAATTAACCGCAGTTGAACTGTGGTGCAAAATTTAAGAACCACTTGCACTTTGGTTGGGTCATAGGACCTGACTAGGGTTTTCACTTTTGCACCGACCAAAATTAGTGTAGATTAACAGAAAATTTTATGAGTCAACAAAATCTGAGTTTCATATATGCCAGACAAAATATGTCATCACCGCAATTAAATATTTCTGATATTATAGTTATTATTTCAACCATAATTTTCTGTTGCTTCTCAGTCAGTGGCTCATTTGAAATAAATATACATTTTGTTGATTCCGCAAGGATAAATTCACTTCAACAGAGGAAATAGACCAAATTTATTTTGTTCGAGTATTGCATTGATTTGTTCTGATGATGAATTCTTATTTCATCAAGTCATCAGTTTCCAAATTTATTTTGGATATTAAATGCAAAATCAAACTGAGATGTCACTTGACAAATCAAATTATGAATCGAAGTATAAGTTTGATGATTTTCTGTATTTCTATTCAATTCAATATTCAATATCACGATACCAGGTTTGATCAAAAATTAGCAGCTCATCATGAATATCAAGAATCTTCCTCTGAAACACCAACAGTTGAAATCCGAATTTCATAGTCAATCACATTATTATACTATTATCCCCACGAACAACGACTTTGAGGTACCTATGTATTTTTTGTTTTATTTCCCCAGAGAATGTATTTTGAAATTGGGTGATAAACTTGGTAATGAACTGTGGATTGCGGCTAATAATGCTTTTGACAACATGCCGATTGCTGCAGTCATCGATGGAAAGGTAAACATAACCAAAATTATAAAAGGTTTTAGAAATAAGGCGTGAATATAGAAAAACGAGCATATCAAGTGTTTTGACAATGTGGCGTGGTGTTAGGTGTGTGGCGAGCCTTAGAAACCTTGATTACCTCGTGATTTCCAAAGTGAGACAATTCGCTAGTGAAAAAATGCTTATTCGTTACCTCGAGATATTGTTCGCTCATATGATTTGGCCTCGATCTCGTGATTTCCTCCTGTGAAGTTACTACTGGTACTGCTACTGGTAGAAGAGGGGGACGATTATATGGGACCATTTTGCAATCTCCAAAGTGTTCAATGAGTGATGTGGTTCGCCTAAGAGAGCTGGCTAACACCCCTTTCAGGTTATGTCTAACAGCTCTCTTTCAGAGTTTTTCGGTTGTGTTTTGTAGGCTAGTAATGTACTCACTACCATATTATGCAGTAGCAGGTTTGTCAGCTACATCATGAATCCCCGTTGAAGAAGGATCACTAAGCACCATTGACCCGCTCTCACTCTCAGCTGCTAGTTTTCCACACCCACCTACATACACCGTCCTACTTGTTCCCTGATGCTCACAATCACATCATCATCATCATCAGTTTTTTCTGTGTGTTCTGTGTAGGCTTTGTAACTAAGTATAGGCGCCACTTCAGGAGCAGCATCGTTGATTGGGCGCAACAGTGGATCGTGCAGGATAACCCCCAGCCGAAGCTCCGAAACTTTGGAATATGTAATGTGTAAATTGAACATCAAAAAAGTTTGTTGCCCAAACTGAGATTCGAACACACGACCTCGCGGTCGTGAGTCGTATCAAAGTCGTTTATTCTTCTTTGCCAAGTTATATACAACACATATTTTTGACACAACATATCATAATTTGTTCTGGTGCATCTCAAAGTGTCCCTAGATGTCACTCCGCGTAGCGCGGATGTGGCTGGTGTTGGCCAAGGGATGTGAGAGGATTTGTGGAGTGTTCGTCACAGAAACCTATCTCCTAGGGCTAGGCCCTTCATAAAGATAATCTCGCTGTGGGTACCCAGAGGGGCGGGGGAGTTGTCCAGACGTGATCAGTGCAGGGAGTGTTTCCGGTTTTTGGAGGAGAAAATAACATTTGAAAAAACAGAAAACCTCCTTCTAGTTTGGCTCGGACACGGTTCCGTGTTTTTACACCTGTCTGAGTTCAGTGTCGGGTTTGCTCGTGAAGCATGACACTATTTTATCATCTTGTTTGGGAGATAGTGTTGTCTAGATCCTCCCCGGTGTCTCAGACTTGTCCGAGATTCCGGGAAGATTCATGACTATAGATTTTCAGGTTTCCTAAAATCATCGATTGATGCATATAATTATCAGCCCGTGTTTTTTACGAATGTTGCGATGTTGTCTAACTGCGGTGATAATCCGGGTAAGGTCACTTCCAGCGATGTGGTATCTGTAGAATCTATTAGATATTTTCAGGATGTACTCAGTGAATCTAGTCAAATTACCACAGCTCTCGTGGAGATCTGCCACTCGAGAGTATCTATCACCGTTGGTGATAATACGAAGTACAGGGTGGGCAAAATTGGGCGTTTTCGCCATCTATCTCAATAACTAGAGGAGTTATCGAAAAACCGATATACATGTTCCGGGTTCGATTTTGGAGAAACCTCGAATGGCACAATCAAAATTTCGATATCTTCATTCGTTTTAGAGATACAGGGAGAAATTGAAGATTTGCCGATTTCGATTTTATTTTCTGACTACTTCACGGTGAGAGGTATCAAAAAATTTCAGACGTATAATCATACAGTATGATGCGTGGAATCCATTGGCATCACCAGAAATTTCATACAGGGTGACGTTGAAAAGATACGGCAGCCAATTATGTTTTTTCTAATGGAACACCCCGTATATTTTGGCACAGTTGAATAGTCCCAGGCGTTCTCATTACAAATATATATATAACCCTACCTTTTACTTCCACAATTTCAGATATATTCGCAAAAATATATTCAGTGTGTCAAATTTCTTATGGTTACACCCCCGTATCTTCTGTAAAAATAATTGAGGTAGGATTCAAAAATTCGCAACTGTCAGAAAGATACAAATGATACACTCATGGAGTCATGGACCAAGTGGGATCATCTCCAATGATAACACTGCTCGCCAGCAGCTATGGAATCATCGATATTTCTGGATAATGCTATCAACAGGCAGAATCGAGGTTGAAAATGACACTCTGTATATATTCACCAAAGGTGGAAAATGAATATCATAGGGAATGTTATTTCCAGACAAATGGATATTTGGTGAGAAATAAAATGGGGAATTATTCGATTTGATATCATTTTTATCAAGACATTTGAGATACAGAAATAAGACCAATAATTTACTCAATTAGGAACAGTTAGTTGCGTTGGAAAATATAGCCTTATAGAATATGTCCAAATTCCAGATACAGAAGATACGGGGGTGTAACCATAAGAAATGTGACACACTGAATATATTTTTGCGAATATATCTGAAATTGTGGAAGGAAAAGGTAGGGTTATATATATATTTGTAATGAGAACGCCTGGGACTATTCAACTTTGCCAAAATATACGGGGTGTTCCATTAGAAAAAACATAATTGGCTGCCGTATCTTTTCAACGTCACCCTGTATAAAATTTAGTCAGTAAAGTAGTCAGAAAATAAAATCGAAATCGGCAAATTTTCAATTTCTCCCTGTATCTCTAAAACGAATAAAGATATCTGAATTTTGATTGTGCCATTCGAGGTTTCTCCAAAATCGAACCCGGAACATGTATATCGGTTTTTCGATAACTCCTCTAGTTATTGAGATAGACGGTGAAAACGCCCAATTTTGCCCACCCTGTACTTTGTTCTGCAGCACCTGTAACCTATTCATATGAATAGGTGGGATGCTGCAGTACACCGGACACACGTATGTCATTACAGGCCTGATGATCTGCTTGTACACCAGGACCTTATCCTCCAGCGAGAGAGGGGAGGTCCTGGATAACAAGGGATACATCTTTTCAATCGCGAATTGCGTTTTTTGTATCAGGTAATTGGTGTTTTTCCTGAATGACATATGGGTATCCAACTTGACTCATGGTATTTCACGGGGGTCATGTCTGTCACCTCAACCCCTCCGACGGTCAAAGGTCTGCTCAACGTGGAATTGTTACGTTTTTGATGGAAATTAATTACTTCGGTTCTTGCACTGTTGATGCGGATCTTTGACTCGTCAAAGTACGGTATGATTCCCCTGTCCAGATGGATCTGGATCTATGCCCTGGCGATATTTGAGTCGTCCGAGTGAGCATATATAACCGTATCATCGGCGTACAGTGCTGTACTCGTTCGCTCGAAAACAGGGAAATCATGGGTCGTGAGTCGGGCGTTCTTTCACTGCGCGAGTCTCATCCCCTGTGAAGGTAACAACCTCGTCACCCCAGTACTCTGGAATCTATCAAAACCAACAGTCCAGAATTCATGTGACAATGCTCCAGAGAGTACAAGTAAACTAACTCAGAGTAAGGAGTGTGAAGGGTGAAGGTCGCCGTTTGGATAACACTTTATTGAAAACTGTGTAAACACAAATTTTCCGTTCAAGCACAAATTTTCTGTTCATTCACAAATTTTCTGTGAATCAGGAGAGAGGAGAGAATCAGGAATTTGATCATTTGGTAATAGTCTGTGTAAATACCTACCTAACTTACATGTGAAAACTGGATAGAAGATTGAAAAAATGGATATTCCTTTCATCGAGAACATTGATTTATTTACATTTTTACAGATACAAAAAAAAATTAACATGCATCACAAATAGTAAGGTTCTGAAGAACATTGTCCTCAATTAGTGAACCGCATTTATCTTTCTTGATTCTCTGTATACTACAGGGTGTTATCCAAGTATATGGTCAAAATTTAGGGGCATAGTTACAAAGATACAGGGCGTCAAAAGGTTATGAAAAATCTTTTTTTTTTCTGTTAATATCCTATATGTACTTCATTTTATTACGTGATAGTATTAGTTGAAAAGTATTGAACACCCTTCACCTACCTGGCATTCCTGAATGTTTTCTCATGGAATTCTCATCTCAGAAATACTCAAGAATCAACATACTCAACTGACCATCAATTTTATTTCACCCAAACACATTATTTTTTGCAAAAAAAACTAATAAATTACTTTCTTCTTATGAAATGTGAGTCATCAAAAGTGGAAAGTTTATTGATTATTTAGTAATCACGTTGTATAGTGAATCTATGATGGGAAATGCAAGCAACCAAATACCTGATAATGCAAGATGCAGAGTGTTCAACCTCTACATCTCACACTACTACTACTAATAATTCTAAATTTCGACAACATTGTATCAAAGGTTTTCTGAGATATTTGAGGAATTATAGTTATTATTTTCAATTTGACACGTTCTATCTTGATAACTATGCATCTCCGGACGTATGTTTTTGCAAGTACTTCATCTTACAATAACTCGAAACATTCTCCTCTTGTTTTTGACCACATAACTTTGATAACACCATGTATTTCATACTAATACGGAGAGTAGTCAGGAAATACTTGTTTCGATCATCCACTTAGCTCTTTATTGGTAATATTCCAGATATTCTGTTGCCACGGGGGTGTACCTCCTCCTTGGTTGTGTCCTGTCATAAGCGCGATAAACGACATTCCAATACCACTGTCGCAGCCAGACGTTCAGAGCTCTTTAGCATGGGAAATCATGTGGAATGATCCTGTCAGGTAAATTTCTGATAATGGGCACTGGGTCGGTTGAGACCATAAAAAGTAGCTACCTGGATACTAATGCTATTTCGCTACATATAGGTCGAAAGTGATCAACTACATGCCAGTTCGTTTGAAAAGCTCAACATACTCAAAAAATCATGTAGATCACGTAATCTGATGTCACTGATTTGATTTTCATGATCCAGTTGGAGCATTTATCTCTTGCTCAACTCTAACAAAAAGGAAGCTTGATTTAAAGCTCAACACAAACGCAGTGGCACAAATCGGCATTTCTGAACATAGCCTATAATCTGAGTAATTTCCAAATTTGTTCCGATTTGGTTTTGATTGAAGGGTTTGACCGTTGATGTTGATCGAGAGAAAAGAATTATTGATGAAAATGATAAAACCGTTGGCATTATTCAAGAATGGTGTCCGAATTCGCAATGTTAACAATTACATTCTTTTCTGCCATATTTATACAACATTTTTTCAATTTTTGACATTTTCTTTGTTTTCATTTGTGTCCCAGCTCGATCAATCTGATTTGATTTTCTGCTCACTAAATTACGAAAGCGCTGAACGGACATGATACTTTTTTTTATAATTTCCAGTTTGAACTGGCAATTTGCTATAATTGCCAGTTTGAACTGGCATTTAGCTATAATTGCCAGTTTGAACTGACATTTAGCTATATTTGCCAGTTTGAACTGGCAATCAGCCATAATTGCCAGTTTCATCTGGCAATTAGCCATAATTGCCAGTTTGAACTGGTATTTAGCGCTTCCGTACGAAAGGATCTAGTAATGCTATCGCCATCTTAGTGCAATCATTCGAGTGGGAAATTAGCATTCCCTGCGAGTAATACACCATAATTTTCCTACGGCTGTGACAGATAACAGCGACATTTTTGATTTATTCGTCTTGTAGCTATCTGATTTCCTCTCAAGTAATGCGCATCTATTAGACAGAGCTGTCATTGCTTGAACTGTGACATTCCATTTGCGGGCGCTAAATGCCAGTTCAAACTGGCAATAGGTCGCGTGCAAGAACTGTCAGATGACCGACCCTGGAGGCAAAACATATTTGTTTACAAGTGATCGAAATAGTTTTCCACAATTATTTTGGCATATGAATCGTATTTTCCGCTATTCATCAATTGGCTAATGCCATCACATTGTGCTGTTGTAAAATGCACAAAAACTGCAGCGGAAGATGAAGAAATCCAGATGGTACATTATGATTCAAAAGTAAGTACCTACTATAGTCACTCACATAGTTTTCATTTTTGAAATTTGGTTATTTCTCTGATTTCTCATCGGAATTCCTTCTGCAATAGGATCAGCTAATAGAAATATACCTGAAATTTCTAGAACAATGCAAGAAGATTGGATTCATGCAATCAATCGGTAGGACTGGTCTGACATGCTGACGATCGTGTGTGTTGTAGACATTTTCAATCTATTAGCAGCATTAGCTTGTATTGCAGAAGTGGCAGAAGGCAGAAGGAATTTTATTAAGGAATGACAACATTTCATAATGCTAACTATGTGAGATTACTATTTACCTGAAAAATCATATTCCCTAGTCTCTTGCTGCATTTTTTGTGCATTGTACAACAGCACAATGCGAAGGCATGCTTGAATTAATGAATAACGCAAGAAACACGATTCGTATGCCAAAATATTGTGAAAAACTATTTAAACCTTTTGATTCCTCTGTAACCAAATAAAAAAGTGAGGTTGTGTTTCAATAATTCACAGAAGAATGAGGTTGTGTTTCAATATTTTGCCTCCAGGGTCGGTCTTCGTGCACGCGACCTATTATAGCTATATGCCAGTTCAAACTGGCAATTATTGCTAAATGCTAGTTCAAACTGGCAGTTATAGCTGAATGCCAGTTCAAACTGGCAATTATGGCTAAGTGCCAATTCAAACTGACAATTATGGCTAATTGCCAGATCAAACTGGCAATTATGGCTAATTGCCTGTTCAAACTGACAATTATAAAAAAAGTATCATGTCCGTTCAGCGCTTTCGTACTGAATATTTGCGGAGCAAATAAATCCTGCTTCAAATGATCTATGGCAGCTTGCTCCAGTCAAACGAACACTCAATCATCAATTGCTCGAAACAAACTAACATCAAATATTGCTCTACTCACTTTTTAGCAGGGTAGCATGACGATCGAACAGGCCTTACATGTAACTCGGATCAATCAACCTGATGCCAACTTTCAACATTACATAAAACTCAGTTTGACAATTCAACGATGTATATCTTGATAGTGTTCCTCGATAGTACGCTGCTCTTTCTTTTCGAACTAGTAAGACTATGAATGAATATGAGAAGTAACCACCAATGCCGTGCCATATGTATGCAATGCAGCAAATAATCTGTGTGGTGAAAGTATTCTACCTGCATTAACAGATCAGGTTTATTTAATTTTCGAGGATGTTCGAATTGTAGTTCCAATATAAATACGACCACAGAGTGACCAAATGCCAGGTATTGGAAAAAGACGTGGAAAATGTTAGGTTAGTGAGCATATCAACAATAATAATAGCGATTATTCATTTCTCTCCATACCCCACTGTGTTTGGCTTGGTAATCAAATTGAGATCAACAATATCGTATTATGTGAGACAAAAAAGTATTGCTGACCATAATTATTCAAAAATAAGTTATCTATCCCGGAAATTACTTTGAGCTTTTTGTATTTATTTAACATTCCATTCCACTTTGAGCATTATTGTGGCTATTTCGTAGTTGAAACAAACTGAATATTTGATTATTAGGCCTAAGACTGTCAACGACAAATTAGCAATGGAACTCTTAGCAAATGAAGGATTTGCAGTGAATGTAAGGAGAGGGACCGCTCACATATTCAGTGTTGAAGCTTTGGAGAGATTTTTGAAAGCTAATCAATTAACACATTTGATAAGAGCTCATGAAGTGGCACAGGCTGGATTTCAGGTAAGGAGTTGTTTTTGGAAGAAAATGTTTAATATAATATAGAGTCTGTCCAAGATAAGGTTGCACAGCATGGGGATCTCGGAAACGGTAGGAGATACGAAGTCGGTTAAATGAGGAAAAAGTTGCGCATTCGGAGGCTCATGCCAACAGCCTTCGAAAATTTTCAAATTTTTTTTTTAGTTTTTCAGTTATATCGAAATAAGTGAATTTTCGGAATCTCTATTTTATTTTTTTTTTCTCTGTCATTATTAGAGATACAGGAAAACTGGAATATTTTTTCATAGCAACTTTTGATGAAGTTTAACGTGGTGATACCGATTTTTTCATGCGACGTTTCGTATTCGTAGAACCATCATCAACTTTTGTCATTTGAATACGACCCTGATAATTCTTTCACAGATTCTGAAAGCTTCTTTTATTCTGAATTCAACCATGTATTATACAAGGTGGTTCGAATGTGTTTTGAACTATTTTTAGCCATCATCAATGTTTTTTTCGAAATTCCAAAGGAAAAATGCCATCAGTTTCACTTATTTCTGATTATCCAGTGTCAAACATTGATGGACTAGTTATTCAATACTGAAAAGTGAAAAAAAATCCACTAAATATTCAATGCAGCGCTTCGAATTGTTTATGAATTGTATTCATATTTTAATCCGAAGGAGCTTGTCATAATTAAATTTTTCGAACTAATTATTCCTATAAGTCTATCAATCGAAACTAGTTGATGAGGTATCAGTTTGTTGGCTAATTTTCCTTCAAAATAAGTGGAACTAATGGCATTTTTCCTTTGGAATTTCGAAAAAAACATTGATGATGGCTAAAAATAGTTCGAAACACATTCAAAACACCTTGTATAATACATGGTTGAATTCAGAATAAAAAAAGCTCTCAGAATCTGTGAAAAAATTATCAGGGCCGTATTTAAAAAACAAAAGTTGATGATGGTTCTACGAATACGAAACGTCGCATAGAAAAATCGGTATCATCACGTTGAACGTCATCAATAGTTGCTATTTAAAAGTATTTTCAGTTTTCCTGTATCTCTAATAATAACGGAGAAAAATAATAAAATAGAGATTCCAAAGATTCACTTTTTTCGATGTAACTGAAAAACTAAAATAAATTTTGAAAATTTTCGAAGGCTGTTTGTTCAGTCATTTCATTATATTTCTTTTTTTTTTTGTTGATCAATATTCAATGGTCTGAAGGCATATCTTCTAATTATATTAAATTTAATTTACGCGCGTTTTCCAATCACAGAGTGTCCTTCAATAAGCCACTAGGATGGTTCCATGGGCATATTCCCCACCTCTATTGAAGTACCATGAGTACGTGAGAATGATCTATCTCTCTCTCGCAAAGCTAATGGGGCCTGAACTAGGTCAGTTTTTCGCCGGCATTCTCAAAAACATAAAAATCAGTTCATGTGTTATGAACTCTAATCCTTCTGTGAACGAACTCGAGTGGTTTTCCAACCCCTGAGGAGGTCTACGACGGTACCGTCTCCAAGATATTTGGCGTGGTGAAGAAGACATCATCGGTAAGTGGCCATGTTAGAACGCTCTGTGATGTGACGAATTTATCTGATGACAATTTCCAAAATACAGTCCACTTTTATCATAAACAAAACATTTGGTCCTTCGAGCCGGATTTTTTAGTGAAAATTCGTTAAATTAATAGTCTTTCATTATGCAAAATTCGATGATAATTTGAATAAGTAATTAAATTCGATCGCCGATATCTTTTGGTAGCCATTGAATATTGATAAGAGTATCATTGATTTCCGTTAATTTCGGTACGATTTGCAGGTACCGATCGCGCACGTAGTTCACGCACAGAATAGCGTCAACAGGTGTTTGTATAGGCGCATGTCGTATTATCGTCAGTCGTCAATCACCTGTTGTAAACGATCATTCGGATAAAATTCACTAAATGGTACCTCTATGCTCGTTTTCGTTCGAACAGCTGATTCGCTAATAAATAATCAGTTCTCACTAATCTCACTCTCCTTATAGATACTCTGAATAAAGTTCTCTTACTCATAATCTCGTCATAATCACTCTACTTGTATGCCGGTATAAGCATTTATAATAAATTGACAATTGTCTTTTGCATACTTTTATGAAAATAATTAACATTTACAAAAGGCTGAAAGGGTTAATAGCTCAACGGGAATCCGAAATAATTAAATTGAATGAGATCAATCGCATCGCTGAGGAGTCTTTACTGAATAATGTCGTTCATAATAATTTTAAATGCCGATATAAACACCTCGAGACTATTTCAGCCAATTTCGACAGCATTCAAACAGATATTGTGAATATAGTTTCGGGTATGGAAGGTGGTGAGGTGCAAGTGCATCATGATATTATGAAAAGGTTTTTGGATATGTATTTTAATGTACAGGCAATTCATTCTCAATTATTTGATGATAAAAGGCTCGTCAGCGATGAAACTTCACGTTCATGCAATGTCCGCTTACCAAAGATGGAACTCCCAACTTTCGATGGGGATATCAGAGAGTGGCAAACATACATCGATATGTTTGATTCATTAATACACAATAACAACCAGCTGTCCAACATTGATAAATATAATTATTTAATTTCCTCTCTGAAAGGTAATGCGCTCTCCGTTGTCAAATGCACCCCATTTTGACATCTCAAAATTATATTGTGGCGTATAATTCTCTAAAAAAAAGATACGAAAATAAAAGATTAATTGCTACCTCTCATTGGCATGCCCTCGAACAAACCAAAAGGATAGCTACTGTTGCCGACAATTTGATTGCATTGCGTCATGTTCTAGACACTTTTAGTGAAAATCTCACCATTTTAGAAAACTTAGGATTTCCCGTGAAGCAATGGGATTTCATAATCTTTAACATGTTGTTTGATCGAGTTGATCCTGAAACTCAAACCAGATTCGAGCTGGAATGTGCATCAAAACTAACTGTCAATGATTATTATGAAACATTAAAAGATTTTTTAGAAAAGCAATGTAGTGCACTGGATAACGTAGCTTTGTCAAATTCTTTTATAAAAAAATCTGATAATTACAAAAATAAAGCCTTCTCATCCAATAAACCCTCATACTCACGCGCGAAGGCCAGTTCAAGTTTTTTAATAAATGCCTCGAATAATAAGACACTTTCGCCTTCGGTTTGTCCATTATGTACCAAGGATCATACAATTCAGAATTGCCCGCAAATGCTTTCTATGTCTCCGAAAGATCGATATGCTCTGGTGAAAAGTAAAAGATGGTGCACAAATTGTTTGGGCACTCGACATTCTGCATCACAATGCTCGTCTCGATCGGTTTGTCGATCATGTTCATTGACTCACCATACTCTTCTTCATTTTGATTCAAACCAACTCTCTTTCAAACAACAATCCACGAATGCTGCTCCCCCCACCACTTCTAACAATTCTAACCCTTCAACTTCATATGCTCAGAGTGATAGCGGCAGTGCGTTAAGAAATTCTTCACTGTGTGATAACCCCATTTCCTCCATTAATTTGCTCTCAAATATACAAAGCACGGTTCTTCTTTCTACAGCGATCATAGAAGTTGCTGATGCAACCGGTGCTTTCAAACCAGTGCGCGCACTCTTAGATAGTGCAAGTCAATCGTCGTTCATTACAAGTAAATGTTGTGATAAATTAGGATTACCTCGTACTTCACTACATATCGATATCAAAGGAATTGGTTTGAAAAGTTCAATGGCTAATCAAGGTGTGTCTAGTATCCTAAGGCCCCGAGGTCAATGTGAACCCCATCTCCAAGTAGACTTCGTGGTATTGTCCCAAATTTGCTCAAATATGCCCTGTACCACCATATCGAGTGAAATATTAGAAAAATTTGCAAACCTCAGACTTGCTGACCCCGAATTTAATATATCTAGACCAGTTGATATGTTGCTCGGCGCCGATGTTTTTGCATACATATTAAAAGGTAGTAACTCTCAAATTCATTTCAGCGACCCTGTTGCCCTTGATACCATATTTGGCTTCATCATTATGGGAAAGGTCGATATTCCTACCCCTACAGTGAATTCTTTTGTAATTTTCTGTGAAAATAATTTAGAAAATTTCGTTCAAAGATTTTGGGAACTCGAAAAAATTACTACCCGGACTATAATATCTCCTGAGGATGCTTTAGCAGAAACAATCTACCAACGTACTGTATCTAAAAGTGAAGATGGTCGCTATATTGTGACTCTGCCCTTTCATACGCACGAACCTACTTTTGAAGATTCACGCAGTATTGCGCTCAAACGTTTAATCTCACTGGAGAATCGGTTGTTAAAAAATCCCTCTTTATATCACCAATATTGTGAAGTTTTGCAAGATTACTTAGATGCCGGTCATATGGAATTAATCAGTGATCTCACACCTAACCCTTTTTCATACTATATACCTCATCATTGTGTCCTAAAGCCAGAACGCTCGACTACTAAATTACGTGTGGTTTTCAATGCTTCCCAGAAAGTCTCTAATAATATATCGTTAAATGACACTCTGTTGAGGGGAGGCAAACTTCAGCAAGATATATCCATACTTCTCTTAAGATTCCGCTTACATTTAATTTGTTTTACGGCCGATATCAAACAAATGTATCGCCAAATACTTGTTTCTCGACCTCATCAAGATTACCAAAGAATTCTTTGGCGTTTTTCGCAAGATCAGCCTATTCACGAATATCGTCTTCGTACTGTCACTTTCGGAGTCACCTGCGCGCCATTCCTTGCTATCCGCACTATTCTACAATTGGCTCAGGAAAACCGTAATGAATTTCCTGAAGCTTGTGAAACGCTCAAAAATGACATATTTGTTGATGACATAGTTACTGGTAGTAATTCGTTGTCCGAGGCTCTACACCTTCAGGCTGATTTAATTGAGGTTCTGAAAAAGGCTGGTTTTGAATTGAGAAAATGGGCCAGTAATAGCCCAGAACTTTTGTCTCATTTACCTGACTCTTTTTTGCAAATTCATCCC